ATTTCATATATTCAAGAGTTTTCTGTGTGGCCTTGAATTGTTTCAGACGGAGTTCCTTGCCTTCATCCTGAACAGCTGCATATAGTTTTTCTTGCTGTATCTATTAAAGACTCCTGCTTCCGTTTGTTTTAAAAAGCCTGTTTCAATTTTACAATAGTATACGATCTTCTTGGACCAATGTTGGATTGGTTGTTTTTATTCCTTGTCTGTTGTCATTCGGCCTCCACGGCTGCTTTCTCCTGAGAAACAACATACTGTATCTGTCCTCTTTTCAGCTCTGTGTGTAGACAAGTTAATCACTGAGAACTGTTTTACCAAGACCGAACTAGAGTTCCCTGATCTAAACTTGCCTTGTCTCTCGTCCCACTTCAGAGCTAAAGACAGACACACCAGCTGCCGTGACCACAAACATCAGACCAGGAAAGAGGTAACTACCAAGCTCCTGGAGGGTCTCAACCTATTTCTCGTTGTTTCCCGTTTACCAGCTCCCCTTCTCTTCATTTCTGCTGTGTCTGTAACCCCTCCACGCCTGGAGCTGAGAAAAACCCACTTCACCCTCTGGTCACTGAATAGTCTTTCTTTGTTCCCTTGGGCTTTGGTTTTCATGTGGAACCAGCTCCGTGTGCAGACATGACCCTGATAACCCCTGGTCTTCTGTCATTTGTGGTGGGACACTTGTGCACTGTATGAAGATGTATGGCTGTGATCCAATAGCTATGCAGGAGGCATAGGCAGGATTTCTGGAGAGAGAAAGGAAGAGGAGTCAAATCTGAGTGGGAGAGATGCAGAACAAGTCAGACACACAGAATGGGAAAGATAAAAAGCCACAAGGTAAAATGTAGATGAATATAAATGGATTAATTTAAGGTACGGTGGGACAAGTCTAAGCTAAGGCTGAGCTTCCGTGCAGTTATGTGGGAGCTGGTAGCCCAAGGAAAACAGACTACAGTCACCCACTGAGGAGAGTAGAGGCAGAGGGGCTGTGACTTGCATCAGATCCTCTCTTCTCACTGAGGCTTTGTACATTTGCTTGCACGACACACATAGGCTCCAAGGACAGTTCCCAAAGACATTATGTGCTTTTGCTTGGGAGGGGGTTACTATTCCAGTTTCCCCAGTGATGGTTGGCTTTGTCTAGTGTGTTTGTACATCATCCCCACCCCACTTCCAGTTTTTTTTTTATTAATATTTTTTATTTTCCATTTTAAATTTAGATAAGAAACAAGGTTGCTTCACAAGTCAGTACGAGGTCCCTCTCCCTTTCCCTCCCCTCCTCCCGTGCCCTCCCCGCATCCCCCCCGTTATCCCCTCATTCCCCCAGGGAGGGTGAGGCCCTCCATGGGGGTGTCCATAGTCTGTCATTTCATATAGGGCAGGGCCTAGACCCTTTCCCAAGAGTTCAGGGTGAGAGTGCACCTCACATTGTTCTATGGGAGTCCAAAGTCCGTGTGTTAAGAGCAGTTTTGACGTTGGAAGATTTGACTGTGTACTTCCCCAACTAGGAGAGGTTGTCGAAGAAGAAAACTGCCGATACAAGCAGAAGAGATGGCGAGATCCAGTGCTGGCTTTAAAACGGGGAAGAATATTCCCCTAACCCAATGTAACCATCTACTAGAAAACATCAGCAACTGTAGGTTTTAAAGCTTCTCTTCGATGGCAGGAAAAGAGATGACTAACCAGGGTGCCAACTGCGAGTTTTTACATTCCTTATCATAGAGTATATGGATCAGAACAGGTGAAACACAATCATATATATATGAGAGATAGACAGAAAGAGAGAGAGAGAGGGGGGAGGGAGGGAGGGAGGGAGGGAGAGAGAGAGAGACAGAGAGAGAGGGAGAAAGAGAGAGCTGGTCTGAGTGTACAGAACAAATTCCAGATCATCAGAGAACAAGTTCAGCAAAGCTGCTAGAGACATATAACACCAGTTAGCAAAGCCAACTTACAGAGAACAAGGAGACACGCCCTTGTGAAGGAGAGCGGGTGGGGCTTCAGGTGTCCTTTACTATAAGGATCGGGACTAAGTCTAAGTTGTACATGACTCTATTACAAAGTGTGAGATATGATGCAATTATTTCTCTATAAACTAGTAGTAAAAATAAGTAGCTGTGGCTTATCAGAGAAGCAAGGAACTCAGCATCATACACAGTCCTCAAGCAGTCCGCACATGCGTTGTAATCATGAAACACAAATGTGACACGATGATCCATATACACAGATCAAAGATCTAAGAGTTGTTCTACAACCTGACAACCAATCAGAAACCTCCATGATTAGAAATGGCTTATTGGTAAAAATGAATGGACACATTCCCATAGTTACATGGACATGGGACATAATGGCAGTGGCGGCTTTATAAATGTATAAACCAGGAGGGAAGGGATGACCTGTTTTTCAAGTGTTGAGAAAATTAACTACCTCTATCTAATTGTATTTAGTCACTTTCCCCATTGCTGACAAAATAAACAGACAGAAGAACCTAAGGGAAGAAGGGTTTGCTTGGCTCACAGTTGCAGAGGACGCAGTCCCTCGCGGCAGTCTTCTGGCTCACAGTTGCAGAGGACACAGTCCCTCGCGGCAGTCTTCTGGCTCACAGTTGCAGAGGACACAGTCCCTCGTGGCAGTCTTCTGGCTCACAGTTGCAGAGGACACAGTCCCTCGCGGCAGTCTTCTGGCTCACAGGCTCACAGTTGCAGAGGACACAGTCCCTCGTGGCGGTCTTCTGGCTCACAGTTGCAGAGGACACAGTCCCTCGTGGCAGTCTTCTGGCTCACAGTTGCAGAGGACACAGTCCCTCGAGGCAGTCTTCTGGCTCACAGTTGCAGAGGACACAGTCCCTCGCGGCAGTCTTCTGGCTCACAGGCTCACAGTTGCAGAGGACACAGTCTCTCGTGGCGGTCTTCTGGCTCACAGTTGCAGAGGACACAGTCCCTCGTGGCAGTCTTCTGGCTCACAGTTGCAGAGGACACAGTCCCTCGCGGCAGTCTTCTGGCTCACAGGCTCACAGTTGCAGAGGACACAGTCCCTCGTGGCGGTCTTCTGGCTCACAGGCTCACAGTTGCAGAGGACACAGTCCCTCGTGGCAGTCTTCTGGCTCACCGTTGCAGAGGACACAGTCCCTCGCGGCAGTCTTCTGGAGGTCCACCGGTGCATTGCATTGGCAATCAGAAAGGAGCAGGGAGGGAACAGGAAGTGGGCCTGGACTATGATCCCCAAGGCCCACACCCAGACTTTTCCTCCAGCAAAACTTTACCTTTAGTTTTTCTACAGTCTTCCAAGAGTGCCACCGGCTGGGGACCAGGTGTTCAAACATATGACACTATGGTGGGGCACTTCACATTGAAACCACATGGGTAACTAACAAGGGCACTTATGAGATTGTATTTATGACCTTGTTTTCCAAGACACAGTTTCTGTTTAGCCCTGGCTGTCCTGGAATTCACTCTGTAGACCACCTGGCCTTGAACTCACAGAGATCCGCCTGCCTCTGCCTCCCGAGTGCTGGGATTAAAGGCGTGCACCACCAGTACACAGCTAAATAGTGGGATCTTAATGAGACAAAACAGAAAAAAGCTAAATGTAGAAGCTTCTGGGTAACGAGCAACATAAAGTTCATACAGGAATGTCCCAATTACCCAGCTTTTTATGTGAAAGTAAATGATCCTTAACCTAAACTAAAAGTCTTTAAAACTAACATAAAATGTGCAAAATCCTTATGAGGAATGTTATCCAAGCATATAAAGGACTTAAATAAAATGAGGCCTATCACAATACTAATGGGAAAATTATATTAATTATGAGGAAGTCTATTATCCTCCAATTAGTGGATAAACTAATGCAATCCTGGCCAAAAGAGCAAAACGACTTTCGTGGAACTTAATAAGCGAATTTTATCATTTGCTGGGAACAGAAAACGCACAGAAACGACATACAAGAGAGAAAAAACAAGACTTTTCCATAGGCAGCAAAACCAAAGGGCAGCGTGTAGAGTGAAGGGAAAAACATGGGTTTGACATCAGCTCTGTATGAAGCGCCGTGTGATGACTCAAAAGATGTTTTGAACGGGTGAGGAATGGACTACTCTATTACGACTTCTCATTTCTGTTTAGAAAACTCGTTATGAACAAGCAAGATAAAGCAAAGGTCTGCACATAACCAACAAACATGGAAATATCCAGTGTTCAAAAAGTCAGGGAAATTCAGATTAAAATAAGGTCATTTTCAATCACAAGACTGACTTTAGCTGGGCGTTGGTGGCACCCGCCTTTAATCCTAGCACTCGGGAGGCAGATCAGGACACCTCCAAAAATAATATAGAGAAACTCTGTCTCAAATAACCAAAATAAATAAATATAAATAAATCACTCTACCAAGATGGAAACTACCTGCTGTGGACAAGTAGTGGGAAACAGAGCCTGTAATGGGTTTAGACCTGAGCTGTTCAGTGAAAGTATCACTGTATACTGTGTAAGATATAACAGGAACACTTTATTCCATTAATATGTGACATACATTAAACAAATTAGGTGTTAAAACCATCTCTAAAACAGTGTTAAACAAGTATTTCTTCATTTCCCTCCTAAGTAACAGGTCAAAGACAGATGTTCTTGACTGGTAGACCAAGTACTCAGACCTCAATACTCACACCCTCTCTTGAAACACCAGGATCCCCACTGAGGCTCTCACGCATCCCAGTTAGCCAAACAGGGGACTTTCAGCAAGTGCACAGCATGACTCTGTTTAAGCTTCACGCTGGAAGGCTTCCAGCTCACTGCCTGGAACTGTCATGTAGTCACAACCACCTGCCTGGGAAGCTGAGAAGCAATTATTAGCAGTCATGTGTCCAGGTAAAACTCAGATGGCACGGGAAGGAGCAGCCCGCACCCGCAACCATGTAAAAACCCCCGGACAACTGCACAGGACTCCGGCACACAGCAAGACTGTGGGAACGTCGAGACTGTTTGAGGGCTTTCAACAGCGACGAGACAGTAAAGAGCTGGTATCTTTAAAAATCCTTTATTTATAATTATACGTATTTAGTACATTTAATCTATTTACACTGCACAAAGTATTTAATGTTCAGAAGCTCAGGTTGCGGCTCAATTTATGAAGGTGCTGTGTATTATTAAAGACTATTCTAACTTAGAGGTGGTCTCTAAGCGTCTCCCAGGTTGGCTGGATGGCCATGCTTACAGAGCACTGCCCAGAGACAGTGCTCTGTAAGCATGGGCAGGGCAGTGGCAGAGCCGGGACGTGGACTTAGCCACAGTTAACTAAAGGGACGTCTACACCTTCTCAGGCTCAGACATTACGGGCACAATGCAGTAATGCTCCACACTGACAAGTCAGGTTAGCACTTCAGCCCAAGAGCAAGGGCATCGTCGCTTCCCTGCAGGATAACGGCCAGAGAAAAATAAACAAAGCCCCCCCCCAAACAAACAGTGTTGGGACTTCCTTCACTTATTGACCCATTTAAACAAACCTCTTCTACAATTTTTACATAATGACACAGGACAGAAAAAAAGACCCTTCTTTCCTTCTTGGAGGTGTGTGTGTGTGTGTGTGTGTGTGTGTGTGTGTGTGTGTGTAGAACCGGCGTGGAAACTGCTGGTAAAGCACGGGCTTAGCATACACAAGACACCAGTCTCCAGCACCATTTAAAACAAACGAACAACAAAAACCAAGTGCTGCTAAGAATTACTTACAGGTGGTTGATTTGACAGATAGCAAATCTCTTTCTGATGTGGCCAGTAGGACAGAAACATGACAGTTCTGAATCAGCAAGGTACTGAGGTGACCAGTCGCTGATGAGCTGACTTACGGGCGGGGGGTGGGATAAACAGAAGACATGTTCCCAGCACCTGTAAAACCCGAGGCTTCTATTCTTAAGTAGTATGTGCTCCCTGACAGCATCTTTTGGGTTAGGAAATATATTTGCTCCAATAAGCAACTGCTAGGTCCCTGTTTTATGACATAATTTATAGTGCCATCAAAATAAAAACCAAAACAAAAAATTCTCCAAGTATTTTCTTCTTCAAGTTTTAGTCTTGAGGTAGATGACACAGTAAATATCAACTGCAGCCATGCCCACACACACACACATACACACTCTCACACACACACACATACACACACACTCACACACACTCACACATACACACACACTCACACACACACACACACACTCACTCACTCACTCATCACAGGATTGGTGAGTCAAGATTCCCATTTGAAAAAGTCCAGGAAGCATCACTCTTCAGCAGTACTCTGGCTTCAGTTTCCAAATCCCTTCACCACCAGGAGTTCTATGAAAATTGCACAGATTTCTCAGTAGTTCTCGGAAGACACAGGACTGTGCCACAGACAGCTTGGATTCAAACTCCTGGAGGATCTCCTGAGTGCTGGCCTGCCCGTCCACCTGGGCCTGGAAAGCAATGAAGTTCCTCATCTCCACCAGAAGGTCGTCGTGTTCCGTGCCAGAGGGAGGCAGGGCAGCAGCCTCCGCAAGGTGCCCGCTGTCACTCTCCAAGCGCTCCGGCAGGATGAGGTGGTTTCTCGCTCGCATTCTGGCCAAGAGTGAGGAGGAACTGGGGGCCCCAGACAAGGGCGCTGCTCCATCTTCTTTGCCACTGAAGTGCTGGGGAGCGGGGACTCTCCCCTCCTGTTTCACGTGGTCCTGGAGGAGGACCACACATTAGCAAACTGAACTTCCAGCTTCCTCCCCCACCGAGTTCCCCAAAGGCTGCGAGGACCCACAGCACAATCCAAATGCCACGTGGTGAGGTGTGAGGGAAAGACTGGGACCCCACCTAATGCCAAGGTAAAGGGTGTGGACATAGATCTGCCCATTTGTAAAGGGCATTTCCTAAAGACATAAGCAGGAAGGAAGGAAATGAAGCCATTTCCTCGATGCAGATGAGAACAGAGGAGCTGAGGGAGGCCCTGCCTTGCAGGCCCAGTGCCTGAGGTCTTCTGGAGGCCTAGGACAGCGTCCAATGGCCACGGGCTTGTCCTGCTCTTTCTCACACAGTGGGACAAGGAGCAGCTGCTACCCTCTTCCCTTTTCAGCCTCTTTTCTCTCCTGCCTCTCAAGTGCTTCCTTGAAACCACCCAGATCTGACTGGACAGTGCCTCAGGCCCCTGCTGCTAACAGCACGGAACACGGGGACGGGGACAGGTGTCTGTTCCTAACGGAGGCCACGGGGGTCTTAGAACCAGAGTCGTAGCCTGGGAGTTAAGTCTGAGCAAGACAGAGTGGTCTTCTCCCACTTTTGCCATTGCTAGTGTGGTTTAGGATGGGTGCTTTGCCCAACATTCAAGAAGGTTTCTCTGGCCATTCGGCTTGGACAGTGGTGCCTCTAGAGCTGGCACGCCCCCTCCAGTTAGGCGCGTATTAAGTCTAAGCTCTGAGCAGAGAATCTGACAGACTGTGTTCTGGGAAGCTGGCTGGCCCTTAGACACAAAGGAAAGTACACCACAACCCGGAGCCTACAGGATCAGTTACAACTGCTTTCTTCACATCTAAATGACCTTCCCTGGCATCCCAGCAGATCTCAAACACAGAAGGCAGCCAGGCTCCCGTTACCTGATGCTTTTCTGTGAGTGATGAAGGACGATGCACGGGGAGGCTGGAGTTCCTCTTCTTACCGAACCTATTCCTAAATAAGGAAGACAGTCAGGTCAGGTGGACAGAGGGTTAGCTCTGCCATACACAGTGCTTTCAACAACTGAACTCTTCCTGGGAAAACCGCTGCCTTCAGATCCCCACACTCCTGCTCTACCCACTCTGACGGCTACACTCTTGAGGGGTGTGAGCGCTTCCTCTCAGTGACAGCTACTCAGCATCCCAGATAATAACTGCATAATAATATGATAATATTATAATCGGCATGAGTATTACTGATGGATATAAACTGGCTGTCTTATTAACATTTAGTCATTATTTATTTCTCATTATTTTAAACATCATCTCTCAAGCAAAACTGGTCACTTCTTCCCCTGAAAAGTTGTCTCAAGAAAGCAGGAAATGGGAGGGAAGAAAGACAACGGTACTTTCCCAAGTCACTCAAGCCTGATCCACACGATCCTGAGGGAACTTCTTGTCCCCCCTTGACTGGCTCCTGGCGAGCATGCCGGGGTGGTCTCTTACTTTATTCCTGCTGGTGCACCAGAAACACCCCTGTGGCCAGTCCAGGTGGGAACACCAGATGCTGCCCCCAGGCACTGCTGACGAGAAAACTTGAGAGCTTTCAAGGCATCCTGAGCCACTCGGGTGGCTTCGGCCTCCACCAGCACATAATCCGGGTTGGTCCCATCCATGATGGCGTCATGTTTCACAACACTGTGCACTCCCACTAACCAGAGTCAGGAAAGAACGACAGTGAACTTAGTCCACACACTGTAAAACTAGTCACAGGAGAAAAGAAAAAAACCCACAACACCTTTAGCCGCTATCTTCTGGGTGGCAGTTATGACTTGGGAACATCACAAATGCTTTCTGTTCACCCACCACTATCCTACAAGGGGCAGGTATGAATTATCCTTGTTTTAAAATACCTGAAGCAAAATGCTTTTAATCATAATCTTAACATTTAATCTCTTCCTATGTTGTGAGAAAATTGAAATATTAATAAACACTTCAGTGAAGGGAAAACATAAACCGGAAATACAGAATTTCAAGCAGATTAACATTTAGTGTGAAGCTACATCTCAGAACCAAAATACACCTAAGCACATGCCTTACCCTAACTACAGAATCTTAATGAACAAACACCACAAGTTATTTCTACTGTAGTCATGTCCAGAGCCTGACCCTAACTACAGAATCTTAATGAGCAAACACTACAGGTTATTTCTACTGTAGTCATGTCCAGCACCCCCAACACTTACATAGCATTCTGATAGCATTATTGGCTATTAAACTAATAATAAAAAACCAAAGATGTGACAGAAAGTGAAAAAGCACAATTTTCCTTTTTAGAGTTAGTTCTTTCCCCTCCTCTCCCTTCCTCCCTTCTCCTTATTTCTTTCTAAGTAGAGATGGGACCTGGGGCTTCGTGCATGCTAGGTAAGTGTTCTGCCATTGATCAATACACAACTCCAGTTCCTCTCTTTTGAAGTTTTAATGGATACAAATCTAGAGGATGCTAGATCATCCATGATAAAGTGAAAACAGTAAAATCATTCAGGAAAGGAGATATAAAATAAACCTATAGCCTTCCAATTAAAAAGCAGCTAAGGAACACAATGGTGGAGGATTTCCACATACAATAACAATGAACATAAAACAATTCATGTAAGAACAAAAAGGTATGAATGGATGGATTACTTTTATTCAATTTCACTAATAAATGCAAATTAAAATAAAACTTACAGGAACACAGAAGAGAAAGAAGGTAGCCTTCCCACTCCGGATTGACTGTGGCCTCTCTCCCACTCAGAAGTAAGAGCCCTAGACAATCCACACTTGCCTTATAAGCTGTGGACACAATGAATGTGCCTTCGTACACACCTACTTTATGACAAATAACAGGGACCCTGGCTTGAGACCTGATGTGTAAGAACTCTCGGCTGTGGCCTCATCCTTCTCCCAGAGCACCTGAGCAACTCAAACAAAATTGTTACCTTTGTTTACAGGAAGAAATTCTAACCTTGTCAGCAACTACAATTTGACAGCTGCCCTCAGGAACCACCTGGTGGTCTCATTCTGGCTTCTTTCTTTTTTTTCCTCAATATATGTTTTTATTTAAATTAGAAATGTGAATGTTTCACATGTCAGTCCCAGCTGCTTCTCCCACCCCTCCTCCCTTGTCCCTCCACCAGTCCCCTTGGGTAGTAGATCAGTGTTTACCATGATTTATGAATGAGCTTTGGGAGCCCATTCCAAATAGAGGGATGCTCTCTCAGCCTGGACACATGGGGAAGGGCCTAGGTTCTTCCCTGGATGAAATGACAGACTTTAGAGATCCCCCCCAAGGATGGCCTCACCCTCCCTGGGGAATGATGTGGGGATTGGGTGGGGGCTGGGGGCTCATTCTGGTTTCTTAACGACTCTTTGAAGATAGTAAATTCAAATCCATCTGAACCCTACGCATCACTACTGCTTAAGGAGACAGACAGCTGTGACCACTCAAAGCCTGAATCGGTGCTCTCAGTACCTTGCTTTCCTTTGAGCAACTCTCTTTCTCATAGAACCCCTGCTTAAGCCTAGATTAAAGTAGCTTTATTAAACCCTAACCCTCCTTTATACCGGCTAGAACTCATGAGCCACCAATCTCAGCTTAATCTGTGTGGTCCCTAAAAGATTAAGGGAATTCCTCAGACTGCTGTGGTTGCCAAGTGGGAGCTGTATTTCCTGCCTCTGCCCATCAGACATGGACTTCTGTCTATCTGTCCATCTGCCTATTTATCTCCTTCCACATAGACTTCTATCTTTCTATCTATCATCTATTTATCGTGATCTGAGATAATCTCTGCAGCTCTGGCTGGCCTGGAACTCACAGGGTTCGCTAGTCTCTGCCTCTCAAGTGTTGAGATTAACGGCATGCGCCACAGCTCCTGGCTTCATGTATTTACACCGTCAAAAACTGACGGCACTGAAGAAACCATCCAGAGTGAGGTAACCCAGTCACAAAAGAGAAACATGGTATGTACTCACTCATAAGTGGACTTTAGACATAGATCTGGGGAGTGCCAGCCTACAATCCCACTGCCAGAGAGTCTGGGAAACAGAACCTTCATCCAGCGTCTGATGAAAGCAGAGGCAGATACCCACAGACAAACACTGAACTGAACTCCTGGAATCCAGTGTCAGAAAGAGAGAACTGATGGGCAAAGGAGTCAAGAGTGGGGTGGTTTAACCCACAGTTGACCTGAACAAGGGGGGAGCTCTTGGATTCAAGATTGATAGCTGTGTGGAAAGCATAGGACTCACCCAGACCTCCTGAATGTGGGTGTCAGTGAGGAGGCCTAGGTAATCTATGGGGCCTTGGGTAGTACTTATCCCTGGCGTACAAATAGACTTTGAGTGCCCATGCCACAATGAGGGATGCTCTCTCAGCCGGGACTCTTAGGGGAGGGCCTAGGCCCTGCCCTGGATGAAACGACAGACTCTGGAGATCCACCAAGGAGGGTCTCACCCTCCCTGGGGTAGGAGTGGAAATTGGGTGGGGGACTGGGGGCCTGGTGGGGAGGGCAGGGGAGGAGAGGAGGGAGAGGGAGCTGAGATTGACATGTGAAACAAGCTTGTTTCTAACTTAAATAATAATAATAAAAAATAAGAACACACAGTCCTGACACAGCTATGGAGACAGACTGCTGAGGACAAATGCTAATATGTATCCCCCCTTTTGGGTGGGGGGGAGTAGCATCATTTCAAAATCTAAAAATGTCCTGTGTGTCTATCTTCTGATGTTGTGAGTCTAAGAGCAGAGCACATGGACACAGGTTATTCATCACAACGCTATGACTGAAGAAAGCTGAGCTAGCACTCTAAGTGCTCAATGGAAGAAACTCTGGCGTGCCATGCAACAGCCACAGAAAGGGAGAAGGGCAGAACTAACATGAAGGGACTGTCAGGATCCGCAAGGTTTTCTTGTCTTTTCTTTTTTTTTTTTTTTTTCTCGAGACAAAGTTTCTCTGTGTAGCTTTGGAGGCTGTCCTGGCACTGGCACTGGCACTGGCTCTGTAGACCAGGCTGGCCTCAAACTCACAGAGATCCGCCTGCCTCTGCCTCTCGAGTGCTGGGATTAAAGGCATGCACCACCACTGCCCATCATGCACGGTTTTTAAAAGGAGGACACACAGTGAATAGCCTTTTGTGTCACAATAAGAGAATGTGAAGTTACACACACGCCTATCTGACAAAAAGAAACAGGAAGGAGACGTCAACCATACTCGGGATAAACAAGGAGCATTGGGGGTAGCTGGTAAAGGTACAGCTACAAACTGGAAAAGTGAAACACAGTAACACCAAGAAGCACAAGAGAAACCCTGAATCAGACACAAATAAATTAGTCTATGAAAAGGAGAAAAAAGTAAGAAGCTTTTAACAGTGTTTTGACTAAAAACTTCAGATTGGAAACAAAGTATAAATAAATATTAAACTTTTGTTAGTGTGGCTTTTTTGTTGTGGTGGTATGGGCTATATATTCTAATACAGTGCATAGTATGATGGTATAAATGTCATCATGAGAAGAATGATGGTCAAGAATTCTCTCCCTCCGGAAGAAGGCCATCTAACACATGGGCAGAGAGCTCCACAATGTTGATGAAAACAAGACAGAACAGTATCGGATCTTTGTTTAGCTTCATGGGATTTACTGAAGTATACGGGGCACCATGAGGCACACCCGCTTAAAACATACACCATGACAAGGTCTGACAAGGATCCACCATAGAGCGACTACCATCTAGGCGATGATACCATGACTCGCAAAGTCCTCTTTAGGGCCCATGGCACGTGGACCTCATTCTTCCACATCCACCCCCCTGTAGATAAGACATGTGGCCTCCTCCTTTATTCTAGAGGCGACTTACTATCTTTGTTTCCAAGGCTCACGACTTGGTTTTTTCTAAACTCTTCCCTGCCTCTGGCATTTCACTGTTTCTCTTTACCGCCTGCCTTGGCCACTTTATTATCACGCCTTGGTACGTTTTTCTCTTTCCAGGTTTGGGTCTTATTAAGCTTCAATGTGTGGATATACAGCTTTCATCTAATTTGTAATGTTCTTTACCAGCATTTCTTCAGACTGACACATGCAATTGTTAGTTGACGTCTCTAATGCTTCTCTCCCTGCCGCCCTAGCCACAGCCCCGCCTCTCCCCCATCACCTGTCTCTCCACCCTCCTGTAGCTGGAAAAGCATCTAAACACAGCATGTGAGGAGACTGCCTTCAACATCCAGGCAGCACATGTCTATTTGTGGTATCTCATCTCATATAAATGGCCATATGTTAAGCATTATTGTTTCCTAAAGTTTCAGATTCTTCAGGTCTGCAGAAAGGGAGATAAATGCAATTTTTAAATTGTCAGCACCATTAGTAAAGACTACTGTGCTAGGAAAGAATCCCATATCCACAGTTCCTGGCACCCAGGTCAGAGTTCCATCAAAACCATTACCTGATTTTTTGAAAAGCTTTTCCAGAACATAGTCGTCACTGCTTTGTTCCTTGGCCTTATTCTCCTGCTCAGAGCTTTCCTGGCGGTATCGCCTTTTCTTCACCAGGTATGGAACTCGAGTTCCCTCAAACTTGGCATCTCTGCAATGCTTGGAGGTCTTGGCCTTTTGTTTGGGCTGAGGGCGTTTCTCTGGCGTTTCTTCCTTTGCTACATCGTGTTTCCTTTTTGATTTGTGCTTACAGAAATGGCCTTCTGTTTGCTCACTCAGGCACACAGGTTCTGTCTGCACCTGGCAGCACTCCCCTTTGTAGGAAGGACCCCGCTTCTCACTGGTGCCTGCCTCACCAGATGGTCCGGATGTTTGCTCGACTGCTGCAGAGTCTGCACACTGCCCATCTCCACTCATCTCTGACACCTCCTCCAGCTCGGGCTCTGCACCCCTCTCTTCTCCAAATGCGGCACTGTCAGCTCTGCTGCTACTCGGGTGACAGTCACCCTTCAAAGGGCCACCTTCTCTAGAAGCTGCACTTCCTGAAGGCCCTGTCGCCTTAGATTCTTCAGTCAGGATGGCACCATTTGCAGATGTGCCAGAAAAGGGGAGTTTCTTGCATTTGGGATCTATTCCGAGGGCTGGTGGAGTCTTTTTTTTTAAATGGCATTTGTGTGTCTGAACATCGGAGCCAGTTCCTATAACAGGGAAAACACGGCTAATGTCACACTGCAGAATTGTTATATTATACTACTGGCTAAATTAAACGACTTAGTGTCATACCTGCAAAAATGGCACTCGTTTCAGTGCTCTGGGATGCGTCAGGACTACTCAGGGTGAACAGCTCATAAAGGTCATTGGATTTGAAGAAGCGCCTTTGTTTTGGGTCTTTCAGCACTCTGTTTGTTAAAAATTGCTTGAAGATTTGGCTAAAAAGAGAAAATTACACGGGTATGAAACAATGTTTAGCTGTAATTCAAAATTCCAGTTATAAAACACGAGAGATGGGGCTAGAGAAATGTCTCAGCATCTGGGTTCAGTTCCCAGGACACACAGGGCAGCTCACAGCACCTGTAACTCCAGTCAGGGAATGTAATGCCTTCTTCTGGCCTCTGCAGGCACTTCATGAACACTGTGAACAGACATAAATGCGTATAGAAAACCTACACCTAAAAATGAAGGGTTTTCTTTCGTGGGGCGGTGTTTGTTTCGAGACAGGGTTTCTCTGTGTGACAGTCCTGGCTGTCCTGGAACTCACTTTGTAGACCAGGCTGGCCTCAAACTCACTGAGATCGCCTGCCTCTGATTCCCAAGTGCTGGAATTACAGGTGTGTGCTACAAACACCTGGCAGGTTATTATTATTACGTGTTTGTGTGTGAGAGACAGATGCTAACAGCAGATCTATGAATGATTAAAAAAACCCAAACTTTCAGCCATGGAAAATTACAACTCAACACATGTAATACATCAGTTGGGTTCACAAGTTTTATGAATTTTAAAGTAGAAATGATGCTATTGCTTCTGCCTATCACATTTCAAACCCACCTTTCACATGTATGTGCCCACCCTCTACAAGCTGTGAGGAGTCAGCCAGCCGCCCTGCCCTGCCCTGCCCTGCCCCGCGTGGTGCCCTCTTGTGATGGGCTCAGGGCATTGCACAGCCCTCGCCTCCCTGCTCCCAGCCCTCAGCTGCTGCTGTGCTTGAGGTCACGCACTGTTGTCCTTCTCCACACAGGCACTACCACACAGCAACACCATTCCCTCCTCTCCAATTGTGTTTCAGGCTAAAGCTTTTCCCCCTAAGACTCACATCTCCTCCAGGGCCTACAGTACACCCCTAACGACACAAAATGTTTTGGGAACAGCCCAGTGTTGGTGCAGGCTCTGGGGTATGGGACAAGAATGAAGTCTGAGGAGCACAGGAGATGCTGGCAATCTCTGGACTCTCCCTCTCCGCACCACTGCTTCAAGCTGTCTGGGTACAGGAGAGGAGGGAGGGACGTGGGCTGCCAGCCTCTCCAAAGGCCATCTGAGCGCCCTGCTTCACTTCGCTACTTCTGGGTTATTCCAAGTGGCACACTGTAATAAGTCAGAATGCTCCTTCCAGAAAACAGTATCCAATTCACAGATGAGAAGTCCCTGGTTTAGATTATGGAACAATATTTTTAAAACACAGTAAGGTTGTCTGGCCGTGGTAGCTCACGTCTTTAATCCCAGCACCCAGGAGGCAGAGGTAAACGGATCTGAGTTCGAGGACAGCCTGGTCTACAGAGTGAGTTGTAGGCTAGCCAAGGGTACACAGTAAGATCCTATTTCAAAAAACAAACAAATAAATAAAGAGTAAATATACATCAAATATGTATTGGCAATACATACATTTTATGCCAATATTAAACATATTTTAATGGCAAAGAAAAAATAAAAGTGCAAAACAGTCATGATACCCCTTAAGTGATAGTGATCATTCCTTTAAGATGAAAGAGTCTTTTAAACCAACACTTGGAAATAATAACAACCCTTCTTGGTTAGGAGTCTGGGGCTCTTCAGCCGTCTGTACTGACCGGTGGTAGATCTTTTCCTCAATGGTGCCAGCCGTCAGGAGCCTGTAGACAGTTACCTGCTTCTTCTGACCTATCCTCCATGCTCGTTCCCGGGCCTGAGGCAAAGAGAGGTACATTAACCAGGGCTCTTCCAGAGCAAGGGCCAGTCAGAGAAAACAGTAACTGATCACTGCCTAGTCAGAGTTCTGTCTGAGAAGAAACACACACTTGAGGCCTATGCAAGTGGATGAAGTCAGGTAACAGAAGAGAACCAAGATGGCCTGACTGAAAAAATTATCCGACTTTTTGTGAGCACCTTTTTTAAAAGATTTATTTATTTATTATGAATACAACATTCTGCCTCCATGTATGCCTGCACGCCAAAAGAGGGCACCAGATCTCATTACAGATGGTTGTGAGCCACCATATGTTTGCTGGGAATTGAACTCAGGACCTCTGGGAGAGCAGTCGGTGCTCTTAACCTCTGAGCCATCTCTCCAGCTCCTTGTGAGCACTTTTTACACCATGGCTTGCAGTGGATGCTGTGGATAAGCATCTGAGGGCTTTCCCAGTCTGTACAACCGACTATGTTCCTTCATGCGAGAGAGCATGATGTGACCAAAGAGCAGACACTGATGAAAACAGCTAACAGCAAGCTGTCTTTCTGAGGGCGCCTTCGCTTCATGGAATCAACAGACCTGTGTGTCAGTGCTCGGGTTCCAGTCAGGGTCGTAGATGATGACTCTGTTGGCCCCGGTCAGGTTCACTCCTATGCCACCCACCCGTGTGGTCAGAAGAAAGACGAAGATGGATGTGTCCTACAGGAAAGATCCAGAAGAGATTGGGCACAGCTGAGAGCGCTGCAACTCTGCATGCCCCAACCCAGGTCCTACCACAGGCTCTGCTGGTTACAACACACCCAAACCTCACGTCCCGAATCCTCTGGGATGCAAGTTCTCATCTTGGAGCTCCCACTTGACAGTTTTCAGTAACTGTGTCAAGTACAGACACATGCACAGACATTCTCCTCGCCATGCTTCACTAGACTCTTAGTTTCTCCTCAAATATCAGCATTTCCTTTCTAAGTATTGTATGCCCACTTCTCAAACCCTAACGTGCCCAGCCAAAGGCAAATTCACCAGGCGTGGTGGCACACACCTTTAATCCCAACACTTGGAGGGCAGAGGCAGGTGGATCTCTGAGTTTGAGGCCAGCCTGGTCTACATAGTAAGTTCCACACCAGTAAGGGCTACACAGTGAGATCCTGTCTCACAGAAAACAAAACACCCAGAAGGATTATGTCCCTCCCACTTCACCTGCTAGCCAGACACGAAGACCTTTCAGGGGCTGTGAGAGCAGACATGCACACGCCTTTCTCTCCACACGCTGTCGCCCCTGCTGCTTCCTGTCACAACCCTCGTTACCTCATTGTATTTTGTAATCAGTGGCTGTCTTGACGCTATGGTAGTGGTCCCATCCATTTTGAGGTAGGAATACTTGTGGGCTCTCAGGAACACTTCTAGTATGTGCAGCATCTGTTGGGGGATGAGGGAAACAGTCTGCAAACCAAATATACTCCAAGCGCGCGCTTCTCCTACGTAAGTGTGCCTTCCCCAGTGGGCCTACACTGAAAGCGTTGCTTGCTTTGAGGAAGAGAAATAATACTGCTATAAAAGAATTTTTGCTAATCCCTTATGATCTAAGTATTCCAACCTTACTAGGATACCAGAACCCTGCTGTGAGGTTTGTTTAAAAAAAGCTGACTCTTACGGCCAAACTCCCACACAGTCCTGGAAGTGACCGCTGGGCTGCCACCTCAGCCGTGTGGCAGATCTCACTTCAGGTGACATCACAAGCCCTAAGAAGTGACTTGTCTGAGCTTGAGCACGCACCTGCCTCGACTGGGAGAAGAGCAGCACTCGCTGGCCCTGCTTATGCCATATCTTCAGCAAAGACTCAACCACGATCATCTTCCCAGAACGTTTCCAGTAACCAAACTGGTCTTCTTCTAGCTCATCTTCTGGAAGACCACTGAGATTCTTGGGACCACCAGAAAAGAGATCAGGGTGGTTGCAGATCTTCCTCAAAGCTACAAGTCCAGAGAAAATCTGTGATTAAAACAATAATGACACATATGAGCTCAGATTACCCTGTGTAGACAAAAGGAGAGGAGGGAGACATGTTACAAGGACTACAGACACTTTTACCAGCTTGCTTTCTACCAGAAACAGTCTGGATCCTGAATGTCCTGTGCTGAAGGCTTGGTCCCCGGTGTAGAAGTGTCTACATATGGGACTTTTCAGAGATGACTGGCCCGTGAAGGCTCTGACCTCATCAACAGACTGATCCATTGACAGGCCATAATCTGATGAGGAGGGAACGAGCTGACCCCTACCCTCTCATGAAGCGAGCAGTCTCCTTCACCTGTGCTTCCTACAATGGCGTTCGGTTCCACCAGGGCCACAGACAACAGCTAAGTGAGCACAGGCTGAAAACCCCGAAACCTTCCTTCCTTTAAGCTGATTTCCTCAAGTATTTTGTCATAGTGACAGAAAACTGACCAACACAGCTGGAAGAAATTAACTTTCCCTCATGTCATTACCCTTGTAAGGATTCGGGGATTATGCTGGCCTGCCCCGGTCACCTGGCAGAATGCACTCAGGAGCCCAGGGTTCCATGACTGTCTAGTCTGCACGCAGGTGCAAAGGACCCTTTAAAGGACAGCCCCGCCCCCATGCTCTGTCTTTGCTCTCCTCTCTTCCTTTGGCCCTCCTCTCTTTGCTTGCTCTCTTACTCTGCCCCTCCCTCCTCCCGCTCTCTCCTCCCCCTCAATAAACTCCATAGCTAATGTATCTCCTGGTTCCATAGCACTCATCTTTAACTTAAGCAAAAGAACAACAACCCTGACTGGACAACTTCCCGGGAAGAGAACAATTCCAGTGGACTGAGCATGTACACAGAGGTCACAGTCAACTGCTGATAACTCAGTTTCCCCCACTAGAAAAAGGTATTTAGTTTACAGCATTGTAAATCTGATATAAAAAACTAACGTACCTTAAAAACACATACCAATCTGTCTACAACACTAGGAAGTGCTTTCACAGTACTGAAGGGTAAAATGAGTAAATAAGTTCCTCTCATGCACCAGGGACAGTAAGAGTTAGAGCCTGAGAAATCCATTCAGAGTTCTGTCTGGTTTCTAAAACGGCAGCGCTCGGCAGCATTTATTGGGCACGAGACTCACTGAGAAGCCGTACAATCTACAGATCTTTGTAATTTTGGTCATTATTTCTGAGAAATCCAGCACAGTGCTGCACACCACCCCTGCCAGGCTAAGAGCCTCAGGTGGCAGGACTCACGGCCACAGCTTCCCAGCTTAGGGTCCCACCCGCACGCCAGTGACCCTGCTCCTACACCACACCTTTGCCCAGCTGTGGTTGTGACTCCGCAGCCACCACAGATCAGTGCACAAAGGGAGATGGCACAGAAAGCCTGGAACATTCCACACCAGCTTCCTTTTCTGCCCCACCCTCCTTGCTAACGGCTAATTTCTCTGCCGTCTGATGCTCACTGGCTGACCTGGTTGTCTCCATTGAGAATCCTGTAAACTTCTTTGGAATCAATGAAATTCTGGTAGACTTTATGCTGCTCATCAGTTAGACGACAAAATAAGACCTTCAAGGGAAAAGAAAAGAGACAATAGTTTAAAAAATACATTAATAATCAGTAAAATTTCCTAAAAAAGTGGTACAATGTACACAATTTTAGGTACGACGACACATCTCTCAGCTAAAGAGATCTCTCCACTTTCCATAACCATTAACCTCCTAGCTGTCACCCAGCCGTCCCTCCAGACTGACTTCCTGCTCATAGGCAGCCTGAGGACCCAGGTGCACAGCCATGTCTCATTTCAGCTCAATGCGATGAGAGACTGTCCCCCACGCCCCTCACCCATACTCTTGTTGGCTGACTTTGCAGTAATCTTTACCTCACCTGGAACCAAGGTTACCAGGCCCTAACAGCAGCCCCTACCCTCGCCCCCCAGTCCACATTGCCCACTTCCTGTCTTTCAGTCCCTTCTCTCTACCCCCCCCCCCCGCCACCTCAAGGTTTGACTTTCTTCACAGCCCACCAGATTCTCATGGGATGTATTTTAACTACCCCTGTGCCACCCACGTGCACCATCACCCCCACCTGCCCTACAAGCTTCCAGAGCCATCCAAGTCACACGCCCACTCTGACTGTTAGCACCCCAATCCTGCAGCAGCCGACCACTGTCTGTCCCAAGAGGCACCTCCCCACACACCCAAAGAGTTGTGCTAATGCCCTGGGGCTTCCTAAGCTACTCATCTACCAGCCATCTTTGTCTCAACATCTGCACACAAACAATCAGACAAGAAAAAAACAAAACCAGATTTGAAGCTACCAGGATTGATCTGTATCCCTAGGGGCTTGGTTCCCATCCCTAAAACGGCTCTACTTTTGCATCTGTCTCACCTAAGTGAGTAAGACAGTCCAGTGCAGTACCAATCCTTTAACCTCAGCACTGAATCTCAGCACCCACCTACCTGTCTTCCTCAGACAGTCCTCTACCCACAAGGCTCTCTACAGAAGGGAGCATCCTGAGAAAACATGGGGCACCTCACCTGTCAGCTGCTGCCCACACCGGCACCTGGGCCACGTCACCCATGCCACTGAAAATGCTCAAAGCATCAGAGCCGACCTCAGACCTGCCATGTGCACCAGGCTCTGGCCACTTCAGCTGCCTGCCCTCCTCTACCCCAGCTCCAGCCCTAGCTACTTCAGCCTGTCTGCTGGCCTCTCCCATCTTCCCAGCTAGTTCCTCGTTTCCTGCCCTCTGCTCTAATGCTGCTGAGGAGAGCAGCACACACACCCTGCTCAGAACTGTTAATACCTCACCAGCTCACTGTCACCTATGACCAGCCTAGACCCTTCTCTCGGTTCTCAACTTCTTATGTGAGTGGATGCTGTCAAAGTACTTCAGCATATCCTAAACTAAACTCATCAACTGGATGGCCTCTGGAAACCTCTATCACAGCAGACCCATCCCAGTGTCTAAGGACTTTGAGAGGACACCAAGATAAAATAAGATGGGATGTGGGGGGAGAAGAAGCATGGATGAAGGTGGCCTTGGGGACAGATGTCTGAGATCCTTCAACATAAAAATCTACAATGTGTAGCTGGGCAGTGGTAGCACACGCCTTTAATCCCAGCACTCGGGAGGCAGAGGCAGGCGGATCTCTGTGAGTTAAGGCCAGGCTGGATCGACAGCCTCCAAAACAATACAGAGAAACCCTGTCTAGTAAAACCAAAAAAACAAAACAAAACAAAAAAAAGCTACAATGTGTGAAGGCCCTGAGCAGAAGGTGCAATCATCTATTAAGATTACAGAACACCAGGAAGGACTCAGTGTCATCCTTGTAAAACCAACGCAGATGCCATCAGCCCCTCCCATAGTGTATTTTCAGGAATATATTCACAAAAAGTAAAAGTCGCCTTTCTTATAACCAGCAGAACCCCAAATCTGACATCTAGGTGGCCATGTGACTACCCCCTTTTTGCTTCTGGCTTCAGCCACCCTGGCACCCCTGCTGGCCCATGAGTACCAACACACACCCCAGCCGTCACCTGCAATTCTTTCTCTAGATCCCAAACAGCTCGTTCTTTGACCTTCCTTAGGCCTCAGCACAATTAGCAGAGCAAAGGTCTCCTCTGACCATCCATTAGAGAACATCTACTCCTTCCACACCCACATAACCCCCACCACCTTACCTATTTGTGACTCTACTAGGTTTACGGTAACAAGATTGCTCTGCTCACTGCTGAGCTTAATTAGTACAATGTGTGGTAGGAATGCATGAGGCTTAAAATCATGGAACTGTTTTCAAGCAGTTGTTGGGTTAGGTCCATGTGTTAACAGAGGAAAACCAAAGCCTGTGGACTGAGGAAAATGCAGCCAGGAAGATACCACAAATGGATAGTCACTGGCAGAGCAGGCTGTCCACAGCCCCAGGACCAGAGCTGTAGACCTGGTCAGTTACACAGACACACTCATGCACGAGGAATGCTTGGTCACCGCCCAGACCAACAGACCTGTTCGTTTTTATCTGGCAGAGAAAGGCTCATCTTGACATCTGACTTCATTCTCCGCAGCAGGTATGGGTTAATGGTGTCTCTTAAGACACATGCACACTTATAGGCAGTTTTAACCTTCAGTAAAAGAAAAAAGAGAGGTTAGCTTAAGGAATACATTTGTTTTTCTAGATTGATTCCATGTCTTCAAAATTAAAGAATGATCAACTGGTATATAAATTCAACTTAGAAAAAGTCAATTAAGTTCTACATGTTCCGGGGACAATACCTCTCAAAATATCAGAAAAAAAATCAGAAAAATTACCAAAACAACAAGAAAGAAAACCTGTTTAACCATGCTTTATCTCCTCTTCTACACTTGTTTTAATTATTACTGTACTATTTAGTTAGGACCAAAAGTAGAGATTTATTTGGTTACTGACCACCCTCTAGGGGAAAAACTAGTTTCAAGCCAATCCCTATTTATAATCTTGTATTCTCCTAAAGCTACAAAGAGCTGGCCTCGCAAGGGCAGAGATCAAAAGCCAAGTGTGGGGAGAGCGGGAGCAGTGGGAGCCACCAGCTAATAAGGGAGATTAGGCTTCAGGGAATGAGTTCAAGGGGAGTCCTATGATCCCAGAAATGGAAGGTCACTCTGGCCTAAAATGGAGCATATGGCTCCGTAATGGACACAGCCACATGAGAGGGTATTAACTGCACATAGGAAAACAAAGACCATAGCCCAGGAAGCCACACCCTCTGCAATTCACTTACGGGCAAGCAAAGGCTTCAATTAATTATTGATACTTTAAAAAATTCTAAATAGATTGAATAATTTAGCAAATTAACATTTCATAGAACAAAAAAATCTAAAATTTAAAGGTAAGAAATTTAGCTTTAAGAGAAACTTGAGCACAATAAACACAGAGAAATTCAAATTAAGCACATTAACATGTTAAAAAGATAGCATTTGGAAAGAACCTGAGTACTCCTCACTCATGTCTGCATCATGCACACACCTATCTCCATGCAGGTGCTGTGTGAATGGGCATGAATGAAACCCAGGCAGTACCTGAAGACAAGCAGGCTAACTGATAACGTCTATAGGGCCGGAAGTAACATCTCCTGCAGTTACAGTCCTCACTGCCTTGTTCTAGGTGTCCCCCGACACAGTCTCCTAGCTGCATGCCACTGCGTTTCTAGCCATCGCCCATCCGTCTGACACGTGACTACCTGTGGGCAGACTATCTTCACAGGACGCAAAAGCATACGGAAAACACGGCCTTAAGCAAAATGAACAAATAAAAGCAATGTCCCTTTCACAGGATCTTGCCATCTAGAACTAAGAACAATATGCTCAGCCAATTTCTTCTTACCCAGTTTTGCTTTCTGTGAAGCTAAACTGCTACCCAAAAATATTCCATGGAAAATTACGGAAGGAAACAGTTCACTAACTTTAAATTGTGTGTTGTTTATGTAGTTTAATAAAATCCTGTGCAGTGCTGTTCTATTCTATCCAAGACACAAATCATTCCTCTGCCCAGTGTATCCCACTGGGTATGACACCCATTAGTCACCAGGAGTGGGTTCAGGTATCAGACTGCCCATCCTGTAGCACGGGGCTTGCGGAGAGCGAGTGACAGCATCCCCAACTCCAGGCATTCCAGGAGACACATTTGAAGACATGTGTCTCCTGCACACGAGGAGGCACTGCTGCACGCACACCCGAGACAAGGGTTTCAAGAGATACACTATATGCCCTTGTTCTGAGGCTGTCTCCCCACAAATGACCTGTTAATTCCCAAGCAGAAATATTAAATCCAGAGTTTAGTAATCCAGCCCAGACAACTTTACCAAGCAGTCCTCAGTAACAGGACAAAGCACCAGATTCTACATACTGAGAAAAAGACGCTCCTGCCACAAACGTGTAGCTTAAACACAACATGGAAGCCATGATAGACCCAAAGAGGAGGATATACTTCACAAGTAACAGGCCTACAGCCTTCAAAACTATCAAGGCCACAACAGGCAAGGACGTTTAGAAGTGTTTCCTCAATAAGAGAGGATAGACATGCAGGGATATCAGACACCACTGGCAGAGAGTGAAGAACAAGGCTAGAAAGGCTAGCGACAACACCCTGACCTGCCTCCTGATGGGTGTCATTACCGTGGCAAGTAAGAGGCTGCCATTGCTGTGAAAAGGCTTGCTGAAGGGCTGGAGAGACGGGGCCACACCTAACAGAGCGCTCACTGGCTGCTTCCACGGGATCCAGGTTTAAATCCCAGCACCCACAGCATGGCTCCCAACAGTCTATAGCTCTGGTCCCAGGGGATCCAACGCCCTCCTCCATCCCCTTTAGTACTGCACACATGGGAACAAAGACATCATGCAGGCAAACACTCACACACATAAATTAAAATATCAAAAGTCAAAAAAGATCCACCCCAAAACCTACACTGGAGTTGGAGAATAGGTATCACGCTTGAACTTATTCTCAAACGATCACTTCTGAAAAGAAAGTATTTGCACACTATTGTGTGTGTGTGGTGAGTAGGTGGATAGGATAGGGGGTGGTAAGGCAAATGCCCTGAAACATTAGTGAAATGTTACATCTGGGTGAAATGCAGATTATTCTATATTATAGTTCTTCCAACTTTATCTTCCGTTTGAAACGATTCTAAAATGGAAAGTTAAAATTACAACAACAACATTAACACAGGACACAGCAAAGATTCAGAGAAGGGGAGTACTTACAAGTGCATTAGTAACCATTTAATGACAAAAGATAAAGCAATTATTGGTTTAGACAAGCCTCTTGTTTTAAAGGTATGAAATGGCTTTTGTAATTAAATATTCCAAAACACAAGATCACGTATCTTTGGAGGAGAGCTTTATTCTTGGCCCAGCCAGGACCCACGAGGCACACCCCATCTGAACAGGCATGCGCAGATACCCTACTTCACTCCAAGGTTGGAGTCTGCTCCCATAGGTCACAGACTGCCCTCAGGAGAGTGCCACCCCCTGAAAGTCTGTAATAACCCAAAACTACCTGTGACCTAGGCATAAAGCCTCACTCGGTCACAGCAAGCTTCCTTCCCAATCCTGCTTCCTTCATTCGGTCAGCATCTACATCTTGCTTACCCTGCCTGGAATGTCGCCTGGATCTTGTACCCATTACTGCGTTATTCTTAGACCACCACCTAAGTCTTACTCTACTTCCTCGCTTCTCCCTCAGAAGCTCCAAGTCCTTGAATGCCAGCCTCCGCAGGACCACTTTCAGCCCAAGCAACTCTAAGAACTCCCATCTTCTATCCGCCAGCCCAAATAGCTTCCTGCTGCCCCTTAACAACCACTAACTCCCTTCCCGAGGCCCCTAGTTCCAGCCTTCCCATACCTACTCTAAGGAGATGAGGAGAAAACCATTTCTAACACAGTCCAGCAGACTCTTAAGCTGCCCCAGCCACAGAGCACGACTGAGCTCACACACAGCCCACCCCTCCTCACTGTGAAAGGCAGGCTACCTGGTTGGCACTACAATGTACACTGCCCAGAACTGCTCAATCTTTTACATGGTTTCTCAATGCTCTTGTGCTCACTTCCAAAACTATTTTTAACATCTCATCTGAGAGATACTTCCCAGGAAAAGCCGAAAGAAAAATATTTCATTCCTACTGTGAAAAGAGAAGTTTTAGTCTAGGGCTTTCCTTAAATAAATGGTGTACTTGATTTTTTTTTTAAACTTCATCTGCAAAAATACAATCAACTGAATAAAGATAATTTCTGATTTTATTAGACACCAATTTATAAGCCTGGCCATTTCCCTTACATTATCAATGACTTGGCTATAAAGTATAGTATTTGGGGAAATGTCAAAAGTGTCGTCACTGGCTGCCACATTACCTGCACTGGGGAAGCATTGGAATAGCCTCCCATAGTGATGGGGACAGAGAACTGCTCCATAAACACAGGCAATGTGCCTAGCTTTCCTGGGAAGATGAAGTCGAAGAGTGACCACAGCTCTCGGAGGTTATTCTGCATCGGTGAGCCAGACAAGATGATCCGGTGAGGTGTGCGGAACTAGTTGGGAAAGGAGACATCCTTTCTTATGAATTGGCTTTGTAACAGATGAATGCCATCCAACCCCAAAATACCCCCAAGTAATAGTCTAGTTATCACTTTTGTTTGTCAATTAGTTTGGTCCTCCCAAAGTGTGGATATTTTGTCCAATTTTCTAACTGCACGTGGATGAAAACACTGGAAGAATCAAGATGAACACCACCTATTAGAGTTGGGTGTGGTTACATTCTAACAGCTGAGCTTTATAAAAAAATCTGAACAATGAAAATCTAAAGGACAGGCATAAAAATATTTTCTATATTAAGACGGAATTCAGTAAACATATTCATAAAGCAAACAGCCTATTCTAAAATTAAATACCACTGCCCACTGGAAATCCCCTCACTGTAGGCAGCCATACCTGTTTGCAAGCAAGGGTGACTGCAGCATTTGGATTTCGGATTTTGTGTCCTTCATCTAAGATCACATAGTGCCAGTCATGTCTGCTAATGTCATCTTGCATCAGTCGGATGTAGGAATAAGAAGTTATCAAAACTCCATGACAGTGAACAATATCTCTGATCAACCTCTCCTATAATGACATACAAGGGCAGATTTAAGTAAGAAGCAAAGAAAAACAAACAAACAACCCCCCCAAACCACATGACCTACAGTGACAATGTGCTTAGATCGCTGTGAGGCCACCGAAAGCACACTCTAAGAATGGACAAACACTCACGCTCACAGCACACACCAGTGCTTTGCATTTGGCTAGCCCACACAACAGTCAGCACCCTGAAGCCTTGCCCTCAAAGAAGGCAGCTTATAACACTGTAATTAATCATCTAGTCAATTGTTACTTTTCTAAATCGCCCTTCTGTCTGCCCTGTTACATCTTAAAAACAAGGTTGACAAAGAAAGATTATCTTACAAGAAAAGCAAGGAAATGAAAGAAAGCTCCAAAGATAAAAGACACAATGTGGTATCGGGGTGAGGGCAGAAAAGATGTAAAGACAATGACTTAACGAAAAATAGAGAAAAAAATCTCACACAACCAGGAGACCTAAGTGTGTGGAGAAAAACATCTCCAAATGTCAAGCTCCACCTGGTGCTATAAAGCTAGCACAACCCATTTCTCCAAACTGACAACAGCACATATACTCCAAGCTACAGCTATTACGTTATAGATGAAAGGTAAGTTCAGCAATACGCCAACTTCATAGGGTTTCTCATAGGGATGCCAAAAAGCTAAATGTGAGAAAATCTAATAATACTCATACCTTGCTTGTAATTCAAAAATCTTCAAAAAGAGGTAATTTTATTAATGTCATCTCAAGGAACTAGGTGTTTAAAATTTCTTAGGCCAGGCATGGTGGTACACATCTGTAACTGCAATTCTTAGAAGGCTGAAGCAGGAGGCTTACAAGTTCAAGTCCAGTCTGCACTACATAGCAAAACCCTAGCTCAAAGAAAGGAGGAGAATGGTTCAGTGGGTAAAGGCACTTCCTGCTAAGACTGACGACCTGAGTTCAATCCCCAAATCCCACAACCTGTTCTCACCCCCCCATCACACACACACAAACACAGTACCATGGCACACACACAAGCTCACTTACACACACACACACACACACACACACACACACACACACACACACAAAAATTACATCGGGTGGGCAGGGAGCTCAGCCGGTGGGTGCTTGCCTAACATACACAAAGCCTGGGTTCAATTCCCAGAACCAAATAAACTGGGCTTGGTTGGTGCACACCAGTAATTCCAGCAGTAGGGGATGGAGGCTGGAGAATTAGAAGTTCAAGTTTGTCCTCAGCTACACAGTGAGGCCCGGTCTCAAACAAGGTATGTAGACAATACATGGTGTGTGTGTGTGTGTGTGTGTGTGTGTGTGTGTAGAGAGAGAGGGGGAGGGAGGGAAGGGGGAGAGAGAGAGAGAGAGAGAGAGAGAGAGAGAGAGAGAGAGAGAGAGAGAGAGAGAGAGAGAGAGAGAGAGAGAGAGAGAAGAGAAGAGAAGAGAAGAGAAGGAGAAGTGGGAAATTATCTGTTTATGTGTATAACACACAAGGCATTTAAGGAGCTAACAAAATTGCTGTTTAGACTACAAACCAAAGGCAGAGTAAAGACCCAGGAGTGTGACCTTCCTTCATTATTACCGTGAGTACTCTTTTACCACATTGAAAAGTCCCATGTCTACTGCATGTAACACCACACCAAAGGCCACACCTGCTTTACTGAACCAGTTCCTCGGTTTGATAATCAGATGGACAGGTCAATTACTGTGGTAGTCAGCCTGGAAAACATGGGCAGAGAACTCACCCCGTCCCCCTCCTTCAGCTGCTAGCGGACAGTGCAGAAAAGAGCCACCCAAGGGGCAGACTGCGTCCCAGCCTCCCCTTGAGCCCTGCAACTCTGAGATGTTAGAGCTAGTTCCCTCAGCTCCTCCATGTGCACATGTCCTACCAGGCCTCTGGGCAGGCAGCACTCCTGATTTCCCCGTTTCCCTCTAGGAGAGCAGGGACACCCAAAGCCATGAGAGTACGAGCATGAAGTAACAGCAATGGAGTACTCTGTGACTGACTGCTGCCCAGGTGTCAGCCACACGCACATGGGGGGGGGGCACCAAGTACAGTTGCCTGGGGCTTGAAACAAGAGCAGTTAAAGCACCACTCACATTTATGAAGCATTCATCGACTGTGAACCCTGCTAATGCGGGTTCACTTGCTCATGGACCCTGGGGCTTCCAACTGTTGCACAGGCTCGCCATAGTCACCCTACTCACCCCAAAGTGTGCCCAACCCCAAAATGAGTTCTTGGAATCATTTGACGTAGTTAGAAGCTTTATCACAGTTAACAAGACATTGAGCCTGCTAAATGTATGCCACTCGAGCAATGTGAAGCTTCTTGTGGGCACTCTACATGTTAGCTAGAACCACAGAATTCCTATTTCTACTATGTCCACAAAGATGTATAACGATTATAAAGAATTAAGAAGATGCTTTACAGAAACAACAAGAAGTTGTACAAAATGTTCACAATGAAAACACAGTCTCCACTGGGAAACAATCCATTTATGACTATTGATGTTCACCTGATTCAGTCTCAGAGCTCTACGACTGCCTGGACTGGAGTTTCAATAACAGTGAATTGTTGAATATTATGGACGTCTCAATCCAAACACTTAAGACAAATCATCTCGGGCGGTTTCAAATTAAAAGCTTGTAAAATATGTAACCTCTCCTAGTTTTTGCAATTAATAGGGTACATCTGCAATTAGCCTGACTTACTGAATGTAGTGCTGTTGTCATTAAAGGATGTCTGAGGAAGTGCTGCTGTTATTATGGAGGCTCAGGAGACCAATCCCTCCTAGAGGGCAAACAGTGGACTGGCGGAAAACAACAGCCATAAATCACACTGTCAGGCAGCGGGGAGAACAGAGAAGCACCGGCACATGAAGGCCATTCACAGTAAACACGCGAGGCAGCTTCCAGGCAGGACTTACTGCACCTGTAATTAATTAAAACTTCCTTCAAGCTAAATCTTTAATAAACAAGGATTTGTGCTGACAATGGAAAAAAACGGCTCCAGCAACGTAATTTTACAGTATTCCTCACACAATAAACCGAGCATCTTTGGCCTCCTCTATCGGGTTCACATAGCGACTCTAAGTTAACAGGAAACACACTGTGCTTTTCAGTCCTGTGCTAGGAGGGGTCTGAAATGTTCAGGATGCCTGATGGGACACATGGTCACGGTTTTCATTCTCACTTGTTCTTTTCATTTCCCCTCTGCCTTTGCACAGTTACTGTGTGTGTGTGTGTGTGTGTGTGTGTGTGTGTGTGTGTGTCTGTCTGTCTGTCTGTCTGTCTGTCTGCCTGCCTGCCTGCCTGCCACCCTGTGATGTGAGATCCCGGGACAGAGCTCTGACACTAACTGTGTGGAAGCCCCCACTGACCTCTAGCAGCCCTCCCGTTGTACTTTGTAAGTCAAGTGCCTGGCTGCTGTTGCAGAACACAAGTCTTTTTAAAGAACACAAGTGGGCAGTTCCATCTGATGACCGAGCACTGTTGTGATTTACTTTTGAACCATTCCTAACCTTGTGCTTTCCAAAAAGAACTGTAGCGTTCTAATGCACTCTTTCCCCTTAGGACCTGAGAAAAAACATCTAGACATCGGCCATGCACATTTTTCTATCTAGAATGTGTACTGAATAGTCAGCAAGGCCACCTCTGTCAACCAATTAATATCAAAGCTTGTGATATGCTATGTTACTATCAAGAAGTAACTGAGTAACTTACCAGGGAACACACAATGTTTTTCATGCATGTACACCAACCCAATAACCCTTCATAAGACTATCAAAACTCCTACTCAGCAGACGTCACCAGGCTCAGAGATGCCGAAGAAACCACCAGTTTCATATTTCCATGACGGCAGGTGTGTAGCTCAAACCCTGCTGTGGTAAACAGACCTTGTCCTTCTAAAACTTTAGGGAGAGGGTGTATGCTTTTTGTTTTGATTTGTTTTTCACTTCTAGGACTCTAGTGGCTTGAGTTGATCAAAATGAGACAAAACTCTGGATTATCTAAAATGTCCACAAAATGACTAGACCCTACCTGTCAGGAAAAGGTGGGAGCCAGTGACAGTTGTTTTCAGAATACAAGCAATCAGTACACTTCTCCAGCAAACTGAAAAGAGGCTCCTTAATTGTTAAGTAAGCTTTTCAGCACAGCGCTAATGAAGCCGCCACCCACTGTGAGTGGGCTAAGCACCCCAGACTGCCTTCCTTTATTATCTCTCGAGGATGTTCTTTTCAAGACAAGAGTTGGCTTTTCAAGGTTAATTAAAAACGCATCCTCATTCTCTCTGAGCCCTAACAATATGAAACACCTCCAATACAACATTTATAGCTGTTCCACAAATAAATATTTACCAACTCATACACTATTTTTTGTAAGAAAAAAGGAGAATCATAAACTGTAATGAAAAGAAGAAGGAGGAGGAGGAGGAGGAGGAGGAGGAGGAGGAGGAGGAGGAGGAGGAGGAGGAGGAGGAGGAGGAGGAGGAGGAGGAGGAGGAGGAGGAGGAGGAGGAGGAGGAGGAGGAGGAGGAGGAGAAGGAGAAGAAGAAGAAGAAGAAGAAGAAGAAGAAGAAGAAGAAGAAGAAGAAGAAGAAGAAGAAGAAGAAGAAGAAGAAGAAGAAGAAGAAGAAGAAGAAGAAGAAGAAGAAGAAGAAGAAGAAGAAGAAGAAGAAGAAGAAGAAGAAGAAGAAGAAGAAGAAGAAGAAGAAGAGTAGTCATGAGCATGCCCATGAGGGTGGGTGAAACTTCCTTTGCAGGGAAACCTCAACATGGAGGAGGAGGGCAGGGAGGCAGCTCAAGGACACCCAAGACTACAAAACAAGACTCTAGCTCAAAAAACAGCACACCCCACTAATGAAAGCAGCAAAGCAGCTGCAACTACTGTACACCAAGGGGAGCATTATCCCTTAGGTTTTGCCCACCGGACAGGTAAGGGTCCCAAGTTTTCCCAATAGGCTCATTGCCAATTATGTTTCCACTAGTTTGTTTCACATGGGTGAAACCATGGCAGTTAGCAGCTGAGTTTGACTAAAAGAACAACCTAAACCGTTTCTACTTTCATACTGCTAAAAATCATTTCTTTTAAATCATAGACAGCACTTGCTCTATTTTCCTAATTCTTTCAACTCAATTTGTTTTCTACTTATCTTTTAAAATCCTGGGCAAAGGCAGTTGGCTGTTATAAGTGAGACTCCAACTCACCTTATCTGAGAAACTACATCATAGGTATATCTACTTCTATCAAAAATTCTGCTTAGCCAAAATCATGAGTACATGAGAATTTTCAGGAAAAAAAAAAACACAGCAAAATTATGAAGGTCCAGTAGTTTGGTGTCTGCAGAACACCTCTAGGTAAGGAGAAACATCCACGGCCCTCACAGTTGACACTGCATGGTGGTGCGGGGGAGCTCACTCAGGAAATATTGAACCCGAGACACAGTGGAACACACTGCCACCTGACAGTGCTACAATCTGAAAGCACACAGTAGGACTGAGGCTATTATTTATACTATTTATCAAGCCAATATTTACTGTGCTTGAGATACGCAGTATCTACTCCATAATCCAGACATTAAGACAGGTGGGGAAAAAGCAGCCTAGCACAATACATGTACAGAATTTAGAAGCAAAGGTAAGCCTGCTTTCTGAAATATCTGCCTGTAGCCAGGTGTGGGGGCGCACACCTTTAACCCTAGCACTCGGGGGAGGCAGAGGCAGGTGATCTCTGTGAGTTTGAGGGCACCCTGCTCTACAGAGTGAGTTCCAGGATACCCAGAACTATGTAGAGACCCTGTCACAAAAGGAAATAAAAACAAAAAGAAAAAAGAGTCAAAAAGAATGAAAGCCAGAAAGGTATGTTACCAAATCTTCAAGCAAGGGAGGAACTACAATGCCCAGGACACTGTGATCCTGTACAAAGCACAAAACCTACACTATCTGTATCTGGGAAAGTCTCAAAGTAGCAAGTTGCCTCTCCTGCATCAGGAACATATTTGAAAAACATAACTGCAGACGCATTTATTAATCAAGGTTAAATATCTTATTTCAGGATGCACTGAGACCAGTGGTATATCAGACTTTAGAGTAACTGCATGTAATGTGCTAAGGTGCCTTGGATACAGAACCTAGCCTAAGCACAAATTCATTACAAAAGTCTCATACAGATCTTCTACAGGTTGCCTGCTGGCAGTGTGTAATACAATACTTTTGGTGTACCTGTATTTTCAGGGTGGCCTGTCATGAATCAGGTATGGACTCTTTCAGTAGTTTCCGGCTTTGGAGCATTGCAGACTTCTGATTGGGGATGCTTTCTGCACGTTACTTTTCAAACCCACTCTTCTCAAACTGTTTACAGCTTCTAATGATCAAGTCCCCCCAGCCAACTGCCATGTCACAGACCACCTGATGTGTGAGCCTGTGCACACAATCAGCCTTGTTGTCCCTGCCTACGCCCAGCTATCTTTTGTTGGATGTCAAAATACCACACCACTGCTAGATTATTCAAGAAAGCCTTTGTTCATATCTGTGTGATGATATGAAGCTTCAAGTCAATAATTAAATAAATTACAATGAAAGAAACATACACAGATACATTTAAGAAATGCAAATATGTAGAGGTCAAACAAAAGCAGTCACGTACTGTAACATTACCTTTTTGTGGGCATAGGAACCTGTTTCATGCAGAATTGCCACTCTGAATGGAGGCCACCACGTGTGGAATTCTTTTACCCACTGATGCATCACTGTCGTTGGGCAGACAATTATAGTGGGGCCCAGCCCCTCGAACCTGCACCCAAAAGTCCAAGAAAATTCAACCATGAGAGGCAGTGGAGAAAGTGACCAACAGCCATAACCCAAGGAGATTTAGTGGTGCTTTCTATGAGGAGGAAAGTGCCGAGTTTAGTGGTGCTTTCTATGAGGAGGAAGGTGCTGAGGCTCAGGGAAACTGGAGCCTGTATGAACCACTCATGACTGGTGGGTGCAGGGACTAAGAGGAGCAGATGACACACTCAGAAGTCAACATCTATAGTGGAGGGAAAAACAAAGACTACACAGCAAAACATTTTCTCCCTCTGTTAGATGGTGAAACAACTAACCCTGTGAAATGCTTACACCAGTGTCATTTAGTAAATACTAAAAGGGTTTATTAAATAAGGCAGTATTAGGTAACCATTAAAATAGTTTTTGAAAATTATTTAATAGCCCTAGAAAATGCTTATAGTAAAGTTAAAAAAAAAACAAAACCTTACAGATGACTGCAACTTCCTAATAGCGGAGCAGAGGGAGGCGGGAGGAGGCACTGGCCACCATGGTCGTCTTCTCTCCTGCCTTGCTTCCTTTACCCCACCGGAAGCACAAGAAAGACTTATTTTGTGGGGTCCTAAGTGCTGGTATGCACGAAGCTGGGACCCCATCTATCCACAACCCAACAGCACGGCATAACCTGGAACGCCTGCAGGAGGAGGGTGCGCACTCGAGGTTAAAGAGGTCATTTCTCTCTCTCCATCCCGTGTGTGTGAGTGCTCCATCCTGTGTGTGTGGGTGCTCCATCCCATGTGTGTGGGTGCTCCATCCCGTGTGTGTGAGTGCTCCATCCTGTGTGTGTGGGTGCTCCATCCTGTGTGTGAGTGCTCCATCCTGCGTGTGTGAGTGTTCCATCCTGTGTGTGTGAGTGCTCCATCCTGTGTGTGTGAGTGCTCCATCCTGTGTGTGTGGGTGCTCCATCCCGTGTGTGTGGGTGCTCCATCCCATGTGTGCGGGTGCTCCATCCTGTGTGTGTGGGTGCTCCATCCTGTGTGTGTGGGTGCTCCATCCTGTGTGTGTGGACGCTCCATCCTGTGTGTGTGGGTGCTCCATCCCGTGTGTGTGGGTGCTCCATCCTGTGTGTGTGAGTGCTCCATCCTGTGTGTGGGGGTGCTCCATCCTGTGTGTGTGGGTGCTGTCTGGTGCCTCAGATGAAGCACACGTCAAAAGTCAGTAGTGACATCTCCACATGCCACCTCTCCCTCACAGCTCTCCAACCCAAAGGACACCACTGTCACCCAGTCTTCAGCACACCACACCAGAAGTCTCTCTTGTTCTCTCGTCAGTCCTCGTTTCCCACCATAAGATACCGCACAAATTCACAGCGCTTTCACATCCTAAGTCTCTCCACAAGTCACCATCTCCTTCCCTGTACAGTGGGTGTCACCATTCCAGTTGCAGCCAGTATGGTCTCGTCTATGTTCTAGCATCTTCTGGCACTTTCTGGAAGTAAAATCTGGAATGTCCCAGGCCCTCCCCTCAAGGCCTCCAATGGCTGCACACTGCTCTTGGAACAGCATCTACAACCCTGGCCTGGCCCTGAAGCCAAGCAATCTGGCTCCTGCTTTGCCTCTCTTACTACTAACACAACAGTTAGCACTGTTGAACTCTACCAGCTTGTACTGCCCTAGGCCTATGTAGCACACTCTGTCTTCTAGACCTTGGCCTCTTCTCCCTCCTCCCGCCACACAGCTAGAGCTGCCTTTCTCTCCAGACAGGCAGATGAGCCTTCCGTGGCGCGCCCACGCTACCCCTGCTAACGTGCAGCACCCCTCTTCAGCTCTTCATAAGTCTGCACGATCTCTTTATGGTGTGACCTCAGGGCCTAGCACACAGCACATAAAGGATGAACATGACAACGTGTATTTAAAGACTGCAAGGAAATGTAAAAGTGGGAGAGAGATTATTTTTAAGTTGGAAGGACATGCATAATTTTTATTTTCTTGTTATACTTAGGAAATGATTCCTAAACTTAAAATGTTTAAAATTTCAATGTTAGCCACACAGAACTTAAAATTTTAAAAATCATCTATATAACTCAAAAAATAATTGGTGTAACAGAAAAGTAAGATACTGGGCCAACACTAACTACAAACTTTTTTTTTCTTCGTGGCTTTTCTAGACAGTGTTTCTCTGTGAAACAGTCCTAGCTGTCATGGAACTCACTCTGTAGACCAGACAGGCCTCGGGCTCACAGAGATCCACCTACCTCTGCCTCCTAAATGCTGGAATTAAACACGTGCACCACCACTGCCTGGCTCTAACTACAAGCTTTATCCTTGCATTCCATCCAATGTGACAGAATGCTGGTGAACCCTTACGAATGCTATGTCCACTCATGAACCCTTTATTTCTGCTGTAGGTGATCACTGTCCCCTGGCCCACAAGGTTGGAACAGAGAATCCAGAGGTCATAACAAACGCAACCCTTCCCACAGAATTTCCAAGCCATGTTGTCACCAAAGGCAGGGGTCAGACAGGTGTTTCTCACTCTCTCTGGGTAGAACAGGACTCTGCCCTGGCCCCTGGTCCCTTCCACAACAGCATTCCTTCTTTAAAAGATTAAATGTGCAACTTCCTTTATATCCTCCAGTAAGACTAAAAGGGAGTTGTCATCAATATGTACTTGGCAGGGATTAGGAAACAGCCAATCAACAGCTGTCTAAAGAAGCAGTCTGAAACTTTTCAGGCTGTAGGCACGTTTCTCCTTTATACCTTGTATACACTGCTAGGATGATGACATACTTGCTCACTTAAGGCCACTGTTTAACCCCAGCTGAACTGCTGGCTGTCCTTTACTTTCTAACTCCCCCTCTGTTAGAATAACATGGAGTTGTTCATGCTGAGTTGAAATCCCACAGCCGAGGCAGGCTATTCCTGGACCACAGAGGGAGCAATCAAAACCATTAACAGGCAAGTGAACCACTTTCCCAGCCTCAATACCGGTGAGATGATACGAAATGGCTAAATGTACTGGAGTGATTAGCATCAATTACCAAACATACTATAGCTCCTTTCATCTTTGATTATCATTGATTACTTAATGAATTTAGGACAAGTCAATAGCTCCATGGTCAAATACTTCAACTTATGAGTGGGAAACCTACTAGTTATGGCCTAGAACTTATGGGGCATTACAAATTATAATGCTTTACCTTCCAAAGTCTGTTTGCTTTTTTAGAACATTAACTCTTTGTAGAAATTTAATTAAATAACAACCAAGTCAAGTATTAACTGAAATGTGAGAGGTAAATCATTTACATCTTCTCCGTTATAAAATGCAGAGGGCACATCCCTATAAGAACAGCCAAGTAAAAAGTCAGTGTATCCGCTGGGACCTGGGAACACAGCTGCCCATAATCACATGTTCATTCAGGTGATACGCTGCTTCCCCCTCTAAAGCACTTGTGCGGCTTCCCTCAAAACATAAACGAATACAAAAAACTGCTTTTTACCACAGTTTCTTGATATCACAGAGACTTGCAGTTTCACAGTGTTCACAGACCTTAAAATTAGGTCCCCACCTCCAATTAGGACTCCAACATTTCTAACTTGCAAGATTAAAAAAAAAAAAAAAAGCTACATAGCCAACAAGGCAATCCCAGCTTACACAGATGTTCCTGTTGCTTTAAGGCCATTTTTCTTTAAGACGTAAGTTCACCCACTACAGGAGGACATGTTACCCAATCTTTCCTGATGGAGCTCCTCAACACACCCTCTTCAGCCAGCCCTGCAGTTTGGCTGATACGTTGCCACTTCTCAGAAGTCAGTTCCACCAAAACTATTTTAATAATGACAATCTGGGCGCTAGTCCAATATGCCACACTATTTCATTATGGAAAGAGAATGTGAGCATTGATAGTTAATTGATTGCAGCTGATGCTCATTACAAGCCCTACTTCACTCCTCGTAGAACTGCTACCACTCAAGAGAACATGTTTTAATTTTTAGATCAAAACTACACTGCAGGGATGAATGAGGTCTCCTATGCCCAGAATGTTAAGACTCCACACAAGGGTCGTTATAATAAGACAGGAAAACAAGAAGGAAATAGGGAAATGTGAAAACTGCAGAAATCGCTTAAGGAGAAAAAGGCCTAGAAACACCTGGGACAGTCAGGACATTCCAGTCACCAGCAACCTCAAGAGCTGCGGAGACCAAGTCTATCTGTACAGAAAAAGTCATCGTTAAATGCTAAATGACAGTCACAGATAGGTCATTTTCAGTTGACTTTTTTCTTGGGCTGGAATGCTTTCCTGCTTCCAGGTAAAAATCTACCCTACATCTAAGTATCCTGTTAGCTACAGAGGTTCTTCTGCTTCAGTACAACTGCCCTGTAGCAACAGGAGGAGGTTTGGTTTTTTAAATTCTTTTTTAACACATTTCCTCCTCCTGCAGGAGGCTTTCAAAAATATCCAGGGGTGAGAGGTGGCTCATTGGTTAAAAGCACACAGTGTTTTTGCAGAGGATCTCAGTTCAGTTCCCAGCACCCACCTCCTACGACTCCAGCTCCAGAGGATGCAACGCCCTCTTCTGGACTCCACAGGCATATGCACATACCCCCAGCACATACACACAGGTACATGTACACACAGACACACTAAAAGTAAATATTTTTTTAAAAATCTGAAAAATTGAAACACTGCCCACAAGAAGTGTTGACCTGACAACCAAGCAAAATAGTACAACATTTTTAAAAAAAGAGTAACAAATAAAAGCAAACCAGGATACTTGGGAGACTCCATGATAGTCTTTAGGCTGGAGTTTATGTTATGGTCCATATAAGCTTTCTGCTGTACACTTCTGTGCCAGTTCCTTGGAATGTGGGCAATAGCATTCTGCAGCTGTGGACTTTGAACACATCAACACTGTTTCAAAGATATCTCCCAACTGTATACCATGAGTGCCTCAAGTCATAGAACACAGATCCACTTGGTAACTCCATCACTGCTGCTCCTTAGATAACCTACTGAAAGGTAGGGAGCTCTAGCTTATCTGTGTTCAAGATGAGACATCCTACAAAATTTATCTAGCAACATTTTTACCAATACAGATTCCATGAAGCTAATTTACAACTTAAACAAGGCTATTCACAGTCCTTTATTGCAAGAACAAACATACCAGTGTTACCTCCAAACAGATTAAACATTTACTCTTTCAAAATACTAGCACTTTAGCAGTATATTAGAATACAAGCAGAAAAAAACTAAGATTATTTCCTACGCGTTTAGGAAGTCATGTAGGTGTTGACCTTGGGAGATGAGTCTAAAACATATGGAAAAGATTAAGAAACTTCAGTCCAAAAGAGCAAGCATGCCTGTAAATGATATCATGCACAGAGACTCTAAAGAAACCACAGAGAACGGCTTCTTCAAAGATCCAACTTTGCCCATGAGCAGACTTGTACTTACTGTAATGCTCACCTGGTCTTCTGCCAGAACAAATATTTTAATGTAAAATTTAATAAATGGGACTAAAGGTATTATGTCTAATTTAAAATTCCATATTGTGTAAACTATTGATATTAACATAATTGAGTTTGTAAACAATCCATTTGCAAGAGCTAACCTTAGACATTGTATTGACCCAAAATATCTAGTGGGGCCCATCTGCAAAATGAAGCACCAACGCCTGGAATTCATTACAAGTGTTACATGTTTAATTTCTCCTGCCCTACAGCTCCATTGTCTCGTAAAATTTTTTCTTTGATGTCCCCCACTAAAAGAATTAAAGGAATATTGTAATTGAAATGTCATCAATAATTCACGAGACCCTCCTCCACAGCAATACATCTGATGAAATATTAATTGAGCTCCACAGACTGACAGTCTGCAGAGGAGCACTTGCCTGTAATTTGAACCGCGAGTCCTGATCTTGCTGTAGCTCAGACCTGCCAAGAAGGCAATTATCTGGATGGTCTTGCCCAATCCCATTTCGTCTCCCAGAATTCCTCCTGCCTGCTGGCAGTGCAATTCCCACAGCCACCTAACACCTGTCTGCTGATACCTACAACAACAAACACCAACAAGAAAAGAGAAAATGGCAAATGGTGGGTGATACAGATTGTAACAGAAAGTACTCATGAATTAATCATTTGGCTAGGTTCTAGTACCAGTCAGAGAAAAGTGCCGGATGCGTGTTTTATATGATTATTATATTTATAAGGTCATACATTTTTCATCACTTAGACATTAAAAAATCGTAATTTTTTGTTATAGAATGTTAACACATTTCTAATTAAACTGATAGATGGGGTAATTAAGGACTATTTTATTTCTTTTTCAACATTAGATATAGCTTGATAAACAAGTATAAACTTACTAGCTTTAATTCACTTTCTGGAAAAATAAGAATTTCAAATAGTCTAAGCATATAAAGTTCCACAAGTATTTCTACAAAAAAAGAAGTGATACTTCTTCTTAATCTAAATAGCATCAAAAAAGCAGGGCAGAGAACACCACAATTTATGGCATACACAGTTGTAAAGTCACTTTGTAGTCATATTATCTTTTTATAGGGAAAATTAAATTAAAATTTAAAGCCATAAACAAGTATGAGTAATGGGGCTGTTCTTAAAAATCAGTGTATAACAAATGATACTATTGCATGTTTAACAGATGTAAAAATGAACTATAGAAGCCAAACAGCATAAGAGGTCTCTTAGTATGTATGTATGTATGTATGTATGTATGTATGTATGTATGTATACATATATGTATGTATGTATGTTTTTGGTTTTTCGAGACAGGGTTTCTTCTGTATAGTTTTGGAGCCTGTCTTGGAACTCACTCTGTAGACCAGGCTGGCCTCAAACTCACAGAGATCCGCCTGCCTCTGCCTCCCGAGTGCTAGGATTAAAGGCGTGCGCCACCACTGCCCAGCTCTCTTAGTATTTTAAAGCACAACTGATTCAAGGATTTTATCAAAAATACAAGATTGGGGCTATTAAAATTTTAAATAAATGGAAAAAAAAAAAGAAACCCTAACTCCCTCACTTCTCTCTCTCTCAAAGAGAAAAAGAAAGAAAAAATATACAACTGATATTTTCCTTTCTTCACCAACCACATGTTCAACTCTATCAATCTCGAAGGTTTTTTGTTTGTTAGTTAATAAAGCAAAAACATTTTCGGGAGTGAATAAAGACCTGATATCATGGAATGGCATGATGATTATATGCCAACGTAAATGACTTAAAGCAAAACCCACTTATGATAAATGGCAAAGGACAATCCCACCCAAAGAAAACAGCATGGCCATAGCGCTACACCTAAGAGACGGAGGGTCACTATTCCTGACTTATTGCCCCAGAGTTCACCAATCAGATCTGCTCTCTGTACTTAAAATCTTCCGAGCCAGGTATGGTTGAACCTATCTGTAATCTCAACACTTGGGAGGCTACGGCAGGAGAATTCCAGAAGTTCCAGGCCTGTCTTGAAAGGAAGAAGGGAAGAAGTGAGGGGGTGGAGACAGGTGACAGACAAATACGTCATCTCATTGTGGACCTCAGCTCCTGGTGCTGTTACTTAACCTCCTTTCAGTAGACGGGCCATCGTTAACTTTCTCCCAGTATCTTGTAAGTCAACTTTAACAGTATGACTCTAGGTGGTAACGTCATTGCCTATAGTATAAGAAAAACTTTGGGATGTTTCCTGCTTATTAGTTTGGCTAATTATAATAAGTACACTGAAGATGCACGTTGGAGAAAAGGATAAAAATCAAAACCCGATGCAGTATGAGGAGAGGACCGATTAATTTGAGGAAAGACAAGCTCCATAAATGCACTGGTATGTCCCAGAGGACAATGGCTCCCATGCGCAGTGAGGCTCTGCACAGCAGTCAGAACACCCTCACCATCAACCTGCACAGGAGTGTTAGTGGCAGATTTTATAGGCAGGAAGCAAAGGCTCAGGAAAGGCAGGGACACAGAGGAGAGAAGAGGAGGTGGAGAGGGGACAGGAGAGGGAGGAGAGGGAGTGACACACACACAAACAAGACATAGGTGAGCAAAACTGAAATCCAGAACTGCGTGACTCCAACGTGACCCCACCGGAGAAGGGTTCCAGCAAAGCAGCCCTGGCCAGGGATAATTTGTTCCCTGGGGACATTTGGCAGTGTCTACAGATTTTTTTTTTTCAAGTGGAAAAGAACAATTAGGGTCTAATGGGCAAAAGCCAGAGAAGCTATTCATTCTCTAATGCTGCGGTCAGTCCCTACAGAAAATTATTTGGTCTAAAATGTCAAATGTGCCAAGGCTGAGGCAGCCCTGACTGAACGGGCTCTGCACACCTGTAATCCCAACACACAGAGGCTAAGGCGGAGGCTTCCAAGCGTCAGGCCACACTAAGCTACATGGTGATACCTGTTTCAAAAAACCAGAATTAAAAACAAAACAAAATTCCAGAATGTCTGGATTCTAGCCATCGGCCTTCTCCTACCAAAGCAGAGAAGCCATGGGAGCAGCTCCAAGCAGGCAATGGACCGCCTTGTGACCACCCTGAAATCAGTTTCCCCAACACAGGCCAATGACTCTCAGAAGGAATCTGGAAGTGAACTGGACACTGCATTCCACTCGACCCTGGAGAATCAGCAACGGTGGGCTAGGTGCTTGGACATTTCCTACCCTCAAACTCCAAGGTTTTCACAGGGTATAGAATGATGTGTTTACAAGACAGTGAGAAGTACTACAGAAATAACGCAAGCCTAGGAACTGCGTCTCAACAGCCAAAGATTATACAAGGGCTGAGAAGGGTACACGCCATCACAGACCCTCAGGCTTCCGCTGGAAAGTATCCACTGATAGTGGAGGGGCATCCACCCTCCGGTCAGAATGGTGTGTGATGAGCAAGGAATGCAAGGCCTGGGCTCGGGCTCTCTCAGAACTAGTACATGCTCTGAGTTTTACTGCGTTACAACCTAAATATAAATACTATAGAACAACTACACGGTTAAAATGATAACATGGTATAGAATCTAGTTTTCAAAACTTTGAGAAGCATATAAAATTTACTCCTTAGGAAGTTAATTCATTTTTTAAGTTACTGTACAACAGTAAAGAAATTACTAAACTTATCCCCATGGGACCAAAGCATCAGAAAATAACCACAGATAATTGCGGGATCTTGGCATTGTCACACTAACCCAAGATTGCATTTACTAGTTTGGTAGAAGGTAAGGTCAAAACAAATTGAAGTTTGTCATGAGGCTGTTAAATTATACAGATGAATACATTTGCTGGGCAAACTTTCAAAACTGAAATTCAGAAGTTAAACATTATCTTGCAGAAAATAGCACTTAAATGGGAAAACTGTGCCTCCTGACTCCCTAGGGTGCAACTATACTCCATTAATTCAGTTCCACTGAGCGTAGTAAATAGAATAAAAATATATCCACAACTTAAAAGTAAACTGACCTGCCTAAAGCTTAATCATAAAAAAGGTAGAGATGAGGGCTGGAGAGCTGGCTCAGCAGTTAGGAGCACTTGCTGCTCTGGCAGAGGACCTGGGTTTGGTTTCCAACACCCACACAGAAGCTCACAGCTGGCTGTGAGTCATTTCCAGGGCTCCTTGCGCCATCCTCTGGCCTCTGTGGGCACTACATGTACATGGTATACATACATGTAGGCAAAACACTCAGACACATGAAATAAAGTTTTTAAAAACAGAGATTCTCTTTGTTCTCCTTTTTCTTTCAATAGAAGATGTGAAATCTAGAAACATTTATAAAGTATTTTAAATTATTTTTGTGGGTATAAAACAAAATACTTCCCAGAAAGATAATTTAGACAAATTTAAATCACTAACAAGCATGTATTTATATTAACTAAAATACAGTTTATAGCCAATACGGTGACTCTAAACATCCACTCAGTAAAGTAGAGCTTGGTTCTGCTACCTGTGACACCTCTGTGCTAGAAAATCTGGCACTTACACAAAACCGCCCCTCCACCCTGACTGTCGGGGACATTTGCTCGGTCACTAAGCAGGCGGAAAACGCCCGTCCTTGTAAAGTTAGCTTAGCCCATGATTTGGGTGCTTCTTTTTGCTAGTACAACATGGACACTATTATACTTGTTCCTTAATAAGCAACTACTTCAGAGAAAAAGAATTGCCAATAAATGTAGTCTTCATTTACCTTTCTACAGTTAATATTTACCAGGACATAGAAATAAACAAGCTATTGGCCTTCCTGGGCTATGAACTGACTGACATCTTAATCTAGCCAGGCCACCCAGGCATGTCAGTTCGGCAGGACCCGGTTTTACTATGTTTAATGGAATAAAATAAATCCCCCACCCCAAATGTCTCCAATGCAAAGAGAAATTAAAATTATAACATAAAACTATAATACGGAGGAGGCTGAGTGGTAGAGCACTCGCCTACCCCGAGCAAACCCAGATTCCATCACCTTGGCACAATAATTGAGTAAATAAATATTATTTGTAGGTCTTGATCTTGCCTGGTGATGTGACTCAGTAGTACAGTGCTTCTCATGTACATACACATATACACCCCATGCACATAGAAAAAAAGCTCTTTGAGAGGAAGCAGGAAGATCATGCTATTTTTAAGTCAATATCATTCCTAAGTCAAGGGCTGACAGTGGAATGTATAAAGGATGTTAAACTTCATCCTCTCACAGAGAGAAGTCTGCACTCTGCTCTCTGAACTGAGGATGCAAAAAGGAAATAAGCTCTCTGGTGGCTTAGCTTCCACTACACCTCTAAGGAAGCCTTCCTAAAGCATCTTGTGAAGTCGTCCACCAGTGAGGGGACTGGAAATGTCCCTCGGCATCTGCACCCCCACGGGACAACTGCCAGCCACGCAGACCACTAAGCATGCATCTATCATGCAGCACCTGGTGGTCACGTGGCTGCGGCACTCGGCCATGTACACACGAAACTAAAGTCAGCTTCCAACAGCAACTTAAAACTCTGAGGTGTTGTCTATGTCTTATTGGTTGACATTATGCAGAAAGACATCCACATAAAATATTTAGATGCACATTTGGTCAGCCCAAAAATATTATACCCATAGGTATGACATAAGATCCTCAGAAAACAATCAACGATTTTTATTTCCACAAAGAAGAGAAAACAAAAAGCAAAAATTCTCCCCAAGGTTTGATGTTAATATACATAAGCCCTCTTAGTGATTTTAATATACAAGTCTTCTTAAATAAATTAATCCAATTTTTAAAATGAGAGGGTTGGTGCCTTAGAATTACTAAGAACAAAATCATAATTTGATGCAGAGGCTTTTAAATGTGTTGTTTTTAGTCTGCTGAGACAAGTCCATACAGATTCATCAGTTTACAAACGTACCCAATGCGCACCTTAGTCAATTTATTATCATCTAATTTTAATGAACAGCATGTGGCTAAAATTTCATTTGACAGTGTCTGGATTTGCAATAAATTGCTGCAAGAACCTTAAGGACCCACAGGTAACTACTGTGTAGTTTGTAAGTGTTAATTTGCACATAATGGCTCGATGACAAACATAAAGGACAGGACAAATGGCACATACTTAAAGAGCTTTTTGAACAGGAAACCCGGCACTTTGAATCCTTCATCAAACTCGGCATCGCTTTCCTCAGAATCATCTTCAAGCTTCAGGCGTTTCTCTTTGTCCTGCAGCCTCAGTTTATTCCACCTCCTACAGTGAAAAAGAAATCACATTTCCATTATCTTGATTATAAACTAGATTAAAATAGACAGCTCTGGATTATGCCCTGGGAAGAAACGGGCAAATCAGAATGGCCTCTGCGGCCTCTGCTGCCATCACTACCCCAGTACTAACAGTCCAGGAAACCAACTCTCCCTCCTGCCCTCTCAAGTCAACTCTTACTTGAATTATTACAACTCCTCAAGAAAGATTCCTGTATCTCTCATTTCATTATCAAACCACTTACTCCTCTTCAGCACACCCTAAGGGGAGACTTCTCTGCTAGCTTCTAAGATACATGACCTTCATCCTGGAACAGACTCAGGAAATTTTCAGTGTAACTGAGCATTTCCAAATGGTAATACAGTTTAACAAGAACATATTTTATTTAGAACTGGTGTTTCTCTGCTAAAAATGATAGTCACCAAATAAAAAACATACTATTTTGAAAAAAAAATGAGTTGCTTGTTGGTGGAGCATGCCTTTAATCCCAGCACTCAGGAGACAGAGGCAGGCGGATCTCTGTGAATTCAAGACCAGCCTGCCTGGTCTACAAGTGCAAGTTCCAGGACAGCTTCCAAAGCCACAGAGAAACCCTATCTCGAAAAACCAAAAAAGAAAAATAAAAAGAATTTTTGTTCAAAATTGCTGTTTCCGGTATTTTTTCTAATTATTCAACTGAAGAGGATCAAAGATGCCATTGTACTGACAATCACACCACCCAGAATGTGTTATCAGATAAACAATTTTTTTTTTTTTTGGTTTTACGAGACAGGGTTTCTCTGTATTGTTTTGGAGGCTGTCGGTCCAGCTTGGCCTCGAACTCACAGAGATCCACCTGCCTCTGCCTCCCGAGTGCTGGGATTAAAGGCCACCGCCCGGCCAGATAAACAAATTTTTAAAAAGAGGAACATTTGTATTGCAGAAGAATAATGCCATGTTTGTTCAGACAGTGCCAGCTGGTGCCAGCTGTGCAAACGAGCTATGGAGGTCCTGCAACACTCCACAGCTGTGCAGGGGGTCAGCCATTTAACGAGGCTAATTTCATATTCCCACAACTATAATGAACTCTGATGTTGTAAGCAAAAAGAAAAACAATTACAAAACAAATAACCTTGGATTCCTGTTATGCTTTTAAGTATTTTCTTAGCATGCATACAATTGACCCAAGTGGTAAAGATGGGATAAAGCATGGACCAGTAAACGTTGGAACTCCAAGCTCACAGGACAGCAGCACACACAGTCTTCTAACTCCACTGACTATGCAAGAGCAGCAGAGACTGTCTGAGGGGAGGCAAAGAAAATATGAGGGGTAAGACAGGCACAGTGCTGGCTGGAGAACCAATCAAAAGCTTCCGGGCCAAGCCAGCGATGGGCAACCCACCCAGAAAGCTGCTAGCAGGTGGTAAAGAAGATCCTCCAAAACTCCAGCTCCTCAAAGTAACCCACACTTGTGCTCAGTAAGAAAGCACTAGACGGTGATGAGGAACTGCTCTCTGCAGTGGGAACTTACTTAGCAAAAAGCCAACCAAGTCCTAGCAGCAGTTTCCAGAGAAGAGTGGCAAATGGCAGAGGCACATGCAGCCAAGCCCAGAGGAACAAACAGCTGTCACACACTATGGCCCTTCTTTACACAAAACACTGGCAAAGGCCACCTCTCCTTCCTTAAAGAGACCTCGACGCAATGACCACGTGAGTCCTCTAGGAGGCCACACAGTCTGCTGTTCCTTCAGCTTTCGCGTCAATGGTGTCCTGCATGCCTGGAGACATACCTGGTCATTATCAAGGCCTCCTGGGGGGAGGGGGGCCCAAAACTGCTGGGCATGCTATCACGTGACCTCCTCAGGAATACACCGACTATTCCCTGACCAACTGGGGTTCAAGTCTCAGATGAAGAGACCATAGACAAGTTAAGCCATGATGGCAGACCAGACTTAGGACAAGTCAATCTTCCAGTAAAAATGTCACATAACTACCTCACATACCAAAACATCAAGAAAGCCTCGTGTGCAGGAATGTCCAGAGAAGGCACTGGAAATGCATAGCCATTCTCCTGATGCACATCCACAGTTTCAGGTAATGAGATAATCCTTGGTACACAAACCTTGAGCGTTAGAACTAAGCATCAAATATCTATAAAGATGCCTCTGCTCAGTTAATCCTGTCGGTAAGGTGACATTCCAAGAATCACAAAAGCTGACCTTTTTCTTCAGTAATTTGACAAGGAGGCAAATAGAAATCCCAGAAGGTACTGGCGTTAGCAGTTAGCCCAAGACGAACAACGGCTTTTCCATATTGCACAGAACATTTCACTCACACGTGACAGCTATTTCCTTAAACTCTACCACTCAACGCTTGGGGCTGTTTAATGTCCCACCACACCATCCTGCATTGACAAGACTGCATCTTCTCCTCTCGCCTTCTAGTCTCTAAAATATACAGGCATCATGTTGCCACAGAACTCAGCACCTTGGAAACCACATAAGCCACCACAGAAATGATTACATCCCAGAGCCTTCCGCTTCATAAAGAAAGATGAAAGCCCTTAGCGTTCATTCAGCTTGGCCAAAGAGTGACTGAAGATGCTGGGAATAAATCATCATGGTCAACAAGCACCGCTGTGAAGACAAATCACCTGAGGACAATCAAGACAGAAAATGGCAGTGTTTCCTTGAGTGGCTTGGGGATCACCATCTAAGGAGGGCCCACAAGAAGCACACGCACAGCCAGGAAAGACAGGAGAACGGTGTTGCGTAGTGATCGGGTGCTTGGGAGTGGAGGCCTTGGTTCTACACCAGTTCTTCAAGGAAAAGGGAGAGCAGAGCAGAGGAACATCTGAAGTGCTGTCAAGAGTCTTTCTGCTGTTAAAAGTGCAGATACACATGCGCTGTGGTGTGCAAGCGGAGGTCAGACAACAGCTTTCTCTGATGGGTTCTCTCCTTCCACACATAAGGGGTCAAACACAGACGGTCAGGCTGCTGCGAGCAGTTTCACCTCCCAAGCCATCGTACCAACCCAAGAATCATCTGAGGAGTGCCCTGCTTAGCATGACCTCTAGAGTCCAGCTTGTCCTGCAGTCTGACAGGCTGAGCAATCTGTCTGGCCAGCAGATGTGAAGGGGCTAGCTGTGCTATGAATGTCCAGCACAGGGAGGCAGAAGCCCAGGCCCCCACTCCATCTGGGCACAGACTGGCTAGAAGCAAACCCTGCTGCATTTACTAATGATGTTTTCTGTCACGAAAACAAACAAAAACTAAGAAAAACCAACTGAAAAGAGGGAAACTCATTTTGATTCATGGCGTCAGGGTCAGGGTCTGGTCACGTGACTCATGTTTCTTGGAAAGGCATAGTGGCACAGAGCATAAGGTGGGGCAAGTAGCTCATCTCATGGTGAAAGCAGCCAGGAAACAGAAAGGACAGGAAGGCAGCAGGGACAAGGCATTGCTTATTCCCCTCAACTAGGTTCCACCCTCTCAATAACCCATCAAATTATGACTGACAGTCAACAGATGAAACTTCTCCAAAACCCTACCTCTGAGCATTGCTATAGGGCATCAAGCTTCTACACACATAAATCTCTGGAGAACATTCCAGCTCCAACCATGACAGGCACCCTTAACCCTCAACAAGAAACTTAACCATGCCAACTAAGTGTCCCAAAGAGCCTTAGAAAGTTGAGCAGTGACGCCTGCTCCACTAGGCTACACGAAGGACGGAGTGAGGGGCCACAGGCAAAGCCGTCCACACAAGAGTGAGAGTCTTTAAGTGTTTCACTAAAACACAGTTGCATGTATCACGCATGCTTGTTGAAATCATCATGCTCACTCTGTAAAGGGAACTACCACTAGTTTAAGAGAAGCAGCAGAAGCAGTATGCATTTCCGTACAATCTATATGCGGTAATACAATGGCCCTCAAGGTTTCACAGAACTACAAGGAATGTACATCAGTGAAAACTGCGACAGCTGGTCACATGCATGCACAGCAAATTATTGTCAATGCCGTGACCAAACAATGACCCCTACCCTTCAGAAGACACCTGGGGGAGACCTAGATTAAATTTTTTTACCGCAGACTAGGGATAGTTCAGTGGCAGAGCACATTCTAGGAATGCACAAGGCTCTGACTCCCCAGCACCAAAAACAGAAATAAAAATTTGACCAAACATTTGTGTACTGTCTGAATTACAGCTGACTTTTATATGACAGTAACAAAAGACGCATGCAAAATTACTAACTGGCTGGTGGCAATAAATGGTCCAACATCTATGTTTTTCCGAGAAGAATAACTTTTTCATTCTCCATCCTCTCATATAAAAACTCCACACGTGTAATAGTCACAGCTGCAGCCACATAAAGTGAAAGTGCCTGGTGTTCCCTGGCAGAGCGTCTAACCCTCATACAACTGCCATGCTCAGCCCGCTGTGGACTCCACTGGCAGTCACTAACCTTAAATTCTCATCAGATGCAGGCACAGAAAACACTCCTTGGCTTCCCTATGTGCCTGCAGGAATGAGACCCTGGCCCAGGTTCTGGGGCCTGGGGCTGATGCTGCAATAATGTTTGTCAGAAGCAATCCAAACCCAGAATAACTGGCTGAACTACACCAGGGCTCACATAAACTACTGGGGTGCTCTGTCATGGAACCCTAAGAATATACTTGCAAGCTAAGTGCCACCATTTACTGTCAGTTTTAGAATGTCTAGTATTCCAAGGACAGTGAAATTATGTAAGAGGAAAAGTACAGTGCACTCTGCCACATCTTGTATGTGGCTTGGATTGTCTTCAACGGCATATCCAGTGCCCAGCCGAGTCCTCCAACACCTGCATCCTCACACTCGGCAGACCCTTCAGACACCATGCTTCCTTCCCTTGGAGGAAGTTTTTCTGATCAACTAGTTAGGCATCCTGTCTACCATTCTAATCATTACTACAACCTCCCTGGCTCACCAGGAGTCTCCTCCACAGTGCCCAGAGTGCCTGCATATAATGA